AGAACTTAGAGAACATATAGGGGTAATAACCCCCTCTGGAACTATTGATAAAAGAACACGCCCGCAATTCATAAAAGCACAAATAAATCACTTTGCTGAAGAGCTAAACAAAACTCAAGTTAGAATAAATGAAATAGAAAATGAAAATGAAAATGGTGTTGAAAACAATATTGATGAATTAACTAATTTACACGAAAGAGCCGAAGAATTAGAAACTATAATTAGAGAAGAAGAAGAGCAATTAGAAAAAGAGGATGTACGAGAGGAACAGGAAGAAGACATTACTAGATTAAAGAGGTTTAAAGAATGGGTTAAAGAAAACATACCAGTAATATCAGCTTTAGCTATATCTATTGGATCGATAATTACAACCATTATCATAGGAGCTAGAAAAGCAATCCTGCAAGGTGCTCAAGCTACTAGTAAATTTTCTAAGGCTGTAGCAAATATAGTAAAAAAATTATGGCCAGTATTAGGACCATTATTGAATATTATCTCTCAGGCTATATCATGGGGAGCTAAAGGTCTAGCATGGGTAGCTTCTAATCTATGGATTTTAGCTATTGCTGCTGCTTTGTTAATATATGACCAGTATAAACAAAGAAGAAAATAAAATATGTTTTAATATATATATGAACAGATTACAAGAAGAGCTTTTACCTAATTTTAAAAGAATTAATATGGCAAAAATTAAAGGTACCCGTACTTTTTATAGTATAACCTTTAATCCTAATAGTGTTAAACCTAATGAACAAATCTATATTAATATGCCCAAATTGAAAGCAAATAGTTGCTTAGTACCTGGGTCACTTAATCTATCATTTGATCTTAAAATCAGTAATACAAAAAGTCACTTTCTAAATAATCTCAGTAAGATTTTACAGCATCGACTGCAAATTAAAATTTCAGGAGAGACTCTTTACGATTGTTGTGAAAATAATATTATAAGTATATACAAAGACCTGTGGTTGCCTAAAAGTGATCGACAAAGCCTTATTGAATATGGAATAGCTAACGAAAATTTAAGAAAACTTATTTCTAAAGATGATAGTGGTTCAACAAGTGGAGATGCCCAAAAAGTGTCAGATAAATTAATGTATGATATTTATAGTACAAGGCAAAAAATTAATATTGATACTATTCTTAAAGATCATGGTCTCTATTGCCCATTCAATATGAATAATAACTTTCAATACATAATAACATTACCACCAAGTAATCAAATACTTATTCCTCAAAGTGGTCAAAGTATCGGTGATTATCAATTAGAAAATATTCAGCTAGAATATGAAACTATTGAAAATCAAGAAATTGCAGATGAGATAACAAATCTATATTCTATAGGTAGAAGCCTATTTTATCATCATATAACACTCTTAAAAAAGGAAAAATGGGATAAGTCAAGTACATTACATAATGTTAACGTAAATGTTCCTCGAAAAAGCATGAAAGGTATTGTACTACTATTCACAGAAAATTCAGTTAGTGATAGTGAAAATTTTATATATCCAAATATCGATTCAGTTAAAATCACTATTGAAGGTTTACCAAATTGTATTTTCGCTCAAGGCATGGATAAAAAAGTATTTTATGAAGAAGCAAAACAGTTTTTTGATAAAACTAACCCAATAGATTGCTTCATGACAATTGAAAAATTCTATAAGGATAAATTTTCATTAGTTATCGATCTACGCACCTTTCAAGAAAACAATATTGCTGGTAACGGTAAAAAAATCATTAATACTCAAAATGGTATTTTGCTTGAAATTAAAAAAAGAGCATATACAAAAGATTTAAACTGCTACATCTATGTTATTAGTGATGCTCTTGTTCAATTTGTTAATAATGATTTACAAAGTATTCAATATTAGAATAACCAGTAATATATAAATGAACACACCCTTTAATATGATTATTTTAGGTATGACTGCTTGTGGTAAAAGTCATTATCTCCTCAGAATGTTAGAAAAAAACTTTCATAGGCATTTTGATTATATTATTTTAATATGCCCGACTTTATCATATAATAAAACCTATCAAGAATGGTTATATTTTAACGATAATGATTTAATTAAAGTAGAATGTGACCAAGATCAGGTAGATATTGTTTTAAAATATGTTAGTGATGTATATACAGGTACAAATAGTCTTATTATACTTGATGATTGTGCTAGTGGTTTAGATGTTAAAAATAGAACATCAGAATTAGTAAGATTAGGGTACAGTGCTCGCCATTATGGGCTTTCTACTATTGTGATTACACAGCAATTGACTAGTATTTCTAAACCTTATCGCGAAAATATAAGTTATTTAGTTACATTTTATAATCCAAACCGCAATGACATGAAAACAATATTTGATGATTATCTTTATGGTTTTCAGAAAGATGATATAGAAGAAATAACCAAAAAATTGAAAAATAATAAATTTGCTTATCTATTTATTCAACTCATATATCCATACCAATGGAAAATAGTTATTCCGCAATAAAACATGTGTTAATACATATATGCCAAAGCGTAAAGAGCCTGAAAAAATTGATGATATAATTAATGAGATTGATTCCGCAAATGATACTATCAAAGATGCTGTATGTGATGATAATATACAAGATAAACCGCAAGAGGGTTTTAATAAAAGAGATAAACTACTTAAACTAGCTGAAGATGGTGATTTAGACAAGTCAGTTGCTTACATTAAAAAATGTAGTCAAAAAATTATTGATAAATTATACATTGAATATGAGAAAAAACGATTACAAAAAGCTAATGAGTTTTTAACAGATTTAGTTATATCAAAATTTTCAGATATATTAAAAGGGTTTGATGCTATTGAAGATCCTAAAGAATTAACAAACCAGCTTAAATCAGACGACCTTTTAAAACGAGATGTGTACAGTTTAGTAGAAAAAATATCACCAATATTACCATTTTTAGGTTTTTTAAGTGGTTTTATAATAACAGGTAGACATGTTTACGAACATAAAAATAAACCAGATATAAAATCTGAGGAATAATATAAATGAGCTTATTTTATGGACATGATACACAGACAGATATTAATGTAAATATACAAGGATCTGTAGATAAAACGCATCTATCAAATAATTATTATACTAAAACTCAAGCTGATGGTAAATTTAATGACTACTATACTAAAACACAAGCTGATGGTAAGTATGCTTTAATTTCTAATTTACTAAAATATTATACTAAAATACAAGCTGATAATAAATATGTTTTTGTTTCAAGATTAGCCAACTATTATACAAAGAATGAAACAAATGGTAAGTATGCTTTAAGTTCTAATTTAAACAAATATTACACAAAGATTGAAACAGATGGTAAGTATGCTTTAAATTCTAATTTAACTAACTACTATACTAAAACACAAGCTGATGGTAAATTTAATGATTACTATAATAAAACTCAAGTTGATAATAAATTTAATGACCACTATTATACTAAAACACAAGCTGATGGTAAATTTAATAACTACTATACTAAAACACAATCTGATGGTAAGTATGTTTTGACTTCTAATTTAAATCAATATTATACTAAAACTCAAGCTGATGGTAAATTTAATGACTACTATACTAAAACACAAGCTGATGGTAAGTATGCTTTGACTTCTAATTTAAATAACTATTATAATAAAACTCAAACTGATGGTAAATTTAATGACTACTATACTAAAACACAAGCTGATGGTAAGTATGCTTTGACTTCTAATTTAAATAACTATTATAATAAAACTCAAGTTGATAATAAATTTAATGACCACTATACTAAAACTCAAATAGATGATATAGTAAAAAGTAAAATTGTACACCATAGTAATCAATTAAATTACAACTCAAATGTTAGTGGTATACAAGATATTATAAATATTATTTTTAACAATATTAAATTTATTGAATTTACACTTCTATTTATAAATACATTTGATAAATCTAAAACAATTCAATTAGATATTATGGTAGATAAGATTAATAAAAAATTTATCATTAAAATAACAAATGATAATGAAAAAAAGATAGCTGCTGCACTACTAGATTTATATTACGTTTACTGTGTTGATGATAATATAAACAATATTTCTATTATTATTTACCCAAAAAAATCTTCAGCTTCAATTGATTATAATGAATGGAAAAGAAAATGGCTGGCAGCATTTAATGGATTAACTAAAATACAAGTTATTTCACACAATCAATCTACATTATCTATGATATATAATGGTTATTCATCAAATTTTGCTGCTACTATAGAAGATAATATTCTAGCAACTAAAAAATCTGTAAATGATGAAATCGAAAAATTAAAAAAATTTATTAAAGATAATTATCAAGCTAAGCCTAAAGATGAAGGTGAAGAATAAACTGTTTGTAATAAGTAATTAATACAAAAGCGATATACAAAAAAATTCAAAATCCTGAAACAATTATTAAAAACAATTTTAACAAAAATTATATGACACTCGCTTGACAGACAAATTAAAAAAACATATAGATTCCATATTTTGTACAACATTGTATTATTATACATGCGCTGATGAAATGTGCTATCTACATTAAACAACCATTGTTAAAAACATGCACTAAGACACGCGCGCCGCTACTGATATTTTAATAACACTTGATTATTAACACTTGATTTCTAAAGATAGTTTTTAAAGAGCATTTCTTAAGCCTCTGTCGTCCTTCGGACAAAACGGGGCGAGCCGAAAATTCTAGCTAAAGCTAGAATTTTTTACCCACCAGGCTCGCATGAATTCTCGGCGATCCCATCCCCCTGCTCAATTTTAGCTACGCTAAAATTTGCGCTGCCGGATCGCCTCCGAAACGATGCTTTCTTAACACTTGATTTCTAAAGATAGTTTTTACCCAAGGTTATATGTAGTATAGTACATGGGGGGATATAGCGCACTTTTCGTGCGCTAGAACCCCCATGTACTATACTACACTGAGTGAACGAGGGAGTGCGTGAGGGAATGAGGGAGTGTGTAAGTGAACGAGAGAGTGTCTAAGTGAACGAGGGAGTGCATGAATGAATGAGGTAGTGTGTAAGTGAATAAGAGAGTGTGTGAGGGAATGAGGGAGTGTGTAAGTGAACGAGTTTTTCGACATCAACAAAGCCTTCAGCAACATTGCTGTCAAATGATACGGCCACGATCTTCTTTTTATTGCCTGATGAAAGCGAAACACGATAGTCAAAAATGCAATGGACATTCATTTGTGTTAATTAAACACACACACAGAGGAAAAATTGTGAGTCATATTGCAAAAACTGAAAAACGACACTGTTACACTCACTCACAGTGAGTGACTAAGACACGATTAATATGAAATATTTTCTCACCTTTCTTGCTGGCATGGCCTCTAATGTGTGAACGATAAAGATAAAAATAAATCTTAGGAAGTTTTGATGTGTAGAAATGGCAAAAATTTTCAAAACATTTTTAAAAGCTTATTATAAATATGGTAGTATACGACGCAAATTTTACATGACGCGCGCCATGTTGTTTTCATTTTAACTTATTCACATCCATCACATTCCAAAGAAGAACGTGTACTGGAAGCGGGAATTTCTTCAAACGAGGGAGGGGGTGACAAAGCATAATTAAGGAGAGACATGACACCACAAACACAATTCACGAATCAGAATGCCTTTGTTTGGTGAGTTTGGTTGTTGGTCGACTAACATTGAGTCGACAAAGAAATATTTTGAGAAAATCGGATAGTATGTACCTTAACCACGAAACATTTTAGCAGTATTGCATGATGGGGTCACAAGCGAACGACTTGAAGAGACAAAACATGATACTTTCTCCTTGTCTATGAAATGTTCCATGTACTAAATGTACCAATACGTTGGTTAAACTACAAACAGCAGTCGTAAATAAAATTGATTTGATATCCTCAGATGATATGAGCTGAACAACCAAATACGTATTGTGATTGAATCATAGTATTGAAAAATATTGAATGCTTTTAATTTTGAGGCTGAAGTGGACTTTGGCCAGTTCACTGAGTTTATCAGGCATCAGAAGCCATTTTTGCAGTGGCCATGATGACTGTGGACATGAATGATATTAAATGCAGTAGAAACGCAACAAACGACAATTCCGCAACAAATTCAATTTTACTTTACAAAGTTTTAAAATAAACGATTTCAAAATTAAGTGGTTGGGAATTGGATTAAGGTATATGATTAGAGACTTGGGTTAAGTAAAAAACTTTAATATTTCCAAATTTACCATCATCTCTCTGTAAATATGTAGCCATTTTTGGTGGCTTTGTATTTCTTGTATTCTTGGATTTCTTATAAATCTTAGCCGGCGTCAGGCCAGGTATTAGAAAAGGAAACTTTTACAGCGGCACATTTTTTCCCTATAAATTTTTCTTCAGTGAGTTTCAGTACATTAGCTCGTACTGTTAAACATTCAGTGCACCAGTGTCACACCACTAACTTGAGCCTCGTCCACAGCAATAATATTTTTTTCAATTTTTATGTGATTAGAACCAAATATATTTTACAGGACACATATTTTTAAAGATAACAATGTAATAACGTAATAACGTTTTGGCAATGCTTTCCTTTATTTGTACGGCTAGGTAAAACCCGATTACAAGCTTCACGGGGACTAAAGATCCCCATTCAAGTCCCCCATCCCTTTCCTACGCCTATGAATGCAATAATAACAAGTTTATATGATTTTAACTCAAACAAATGTACTCAATGAGTTATAAATATAATAGAGTTCTTCCATGACGTATAACGCAAAATTCATGTACGACATTATTAGCAAATCTTTTGCCTTGTTATGTATCAATCTGAAAAATATATTTATGTTTATATTATTTGAACTTTGTCTGATTTTACCACAAACTTTAGACTGATTTAAGCATGAAGTAAACAGATGAAATCATGATTACGATGCTAAAGTACTCTGGTTGAAATACTGAAAAACTATTTAAATGTGCTAAATTATAATCTTGTAGCTCTTTGTCAAGATTAAGCACATGTTGTTTTGGTGGAAATAAGAATTCCAGAAATATAGGTTAAACGCTGTAAATCTTGGGTGATGAGTTTGTCCATTCATACTAATAAATATTTAACGCGAGTGACAACAAGCAAACTGGCACGTGACCAAGTAGGCGAAATTTGTTTGTACATAAAATTGAACGTTTGAATTTTAAAAACTGTACTAATAATTTTAGTGAAAGGTCGAAGTTTGGTCTGAAAACAGAACAAAGAAAATTGTATGATTTTAGTAAAGACTTCGTTTTATGATAACTAAAACAATAAAAATCTTCCTTATATAATTGTATGCAAATGCTGTATGGTCCCACAAAAATTGCCTTTGTCTTCGTTTACAAACGTCCAAGCAATAAAATTTATGTGCGATTAAAAATATGTTATATTTTATTACGTTATTCAATGGGGTTATTACTTTATTTCAATTTCTGAAGTTTATTGCAAGATATTTCAGAATAAAAAACACTTCAGGAACACTTTTCGTGAGCATGTGTAAGTGTGTATAAGACACTTGCGAGTTGATATGGCATGTGATTATAAGTAATGTGAAGAAAATATGAAACCTGTACTCAATAATTATAAAATTTTATTTACAACTTTATTTATGAACATCATTAATTGTTTGTTAACTTCCGCGGTTTGCAGCAACTATCGTAGTTTTAAAAACTCATAGAAATTTACTATTTTTCAACACTACAAATACTTGAGATTTGTAATGAAATACAATGCTACATACACTTCATAATGCTTTAATTCAGTTAATCATTTATACAGTATATTGAAATGAGTTTTTTATGATAATGTTTAATGGCAAAAACGTAACACAAAGGTCAATGCATATAATGTTTTTACTGCCTTTTCAGGGATTACTGTGTTACCGATTGTCGCTTGCCAATCTTCAGGAAAAATAAAACCTGATGTCACATTGACATAACCAGCATGATTATTTAGAAACAAGTTTATTTAAACATCCTGCTAACCAGAAGATTTCCAAAGTGAACAGATTTTAGAATCAACATTGCAAAAATAAACTTGCATGCTAGCCACGTCTCTGAGGCAAACACGTTCAGTATGATATTGAGTTAATTATGATTGAAAACGTCTATTTATTTAACATGTACATATGTGTCCTGGTAGATATTTACATCTGCAAAAAATCTTTAAAAGAAACTTCAGAAACATTAGCAGGAGTTTTTAAACTTGTTTTCATACTTGTAGAGCACTAATTCTATAAGGAAAGTATGCTGGCCAAAAGATAGGAAATTGATACAAACAAACAAAAACAAAGAACACATTTCCGACGCAGTTACAATGTATCAAATAATTTGATAAAAATGTTCTTTAGGTAGAACTATGATTCAGTATTGAAAGCATGCTATCAAAAGACCATAAATTGATATAAAGAAGGGTGCTTTTTACACGCAAAAAATCAAGACAATTCAATTAATTTTATCAAAATATGATTACTGGCTGTTTACACTGTAAGGTAAAATATAAATTCTTAAAGCATGTTTAAAGTAATTAGAGAATTAATTTATATAATAAATGGTTAAAGTACATATCTAATGCAAGTGTGTTTACAATTCTCACTTTGCAAAGCTTCACTAAGAGATTTTTTACCTTTATCACCTATCTTGTTAGGAAAAAGAGATAATTCACTAAGTTTACAATTCTCACTTTTCAAAGCATTACTAAGAGATTTCGCACCTTCATCACCTATCTTGTTATAAGAAAGACCCAATTTAGTAAGTTTACATTCCTCACTTTTCAAAGCTTCACTAAGTGATTTTGCACATACATCACCTATCTTGTTATGAAAAAGACCCAATTCAGTAACTTTACAATTCTCACCATTCAAAGCTTCATTAAGAGATTTTGCACCTTCATTACCTATACTGTTATAAGAAAGATCCAATTAAGTAAGCTTACAACTCTCACTTTTCAAAGCTTCACTAAGAAATTTTGCACCTCCATCACCTATATTGTTATGAGAAATACCCAATTCAGTAAGTTTACAATTCTCACTTTTCAAAGCCTCACTAAGAGATTTTGCACATTCATCACCAATATTGTTAATATAAAGATACAATTTAATAAGCTTACAATTCTTACTTTTCAAAGCTTCACTAAGCGATTTTGCATCTCCATCACCTATATTGTTATCAGAAAGAGACAATTTACTAAGTTTACAGTTCTCACTTTTCAAAGCTTCACTAAGAGATTTCGCAACTCCATCACCTATCTTCTTATAAGAAAGACCCTATTCAGTAAGTTTACATTTCTCACTTTTCAAAGCTTCACTAAGAGATTTTGCACATTCATCACCAATATTGTTAAAGTAAAGATACAATTTAGTAAGCTTACAATTCTTACTTTTCAAAGCTTCACTAAGCAATTTTGCACCTCCATCACCTATATTGTTATCAGAAAGAGACAATTTACTAAGTTTACAATTCTCACTTTTCAAAGCTTCACTAAGAGACTTTGCACCTCCATCACCTATCTTGTTATAAGAAAGACCCAATTCTGTAAGTTTACAATTCTCACTTTTCAAAGCTTCACTAAGAGATATTGCACCTTCATAACCTATATTGTTATGATAAAGACCCAATTCAGTAAGTTTACAATTCTCACTTTTCAAAGCTTCACTAAGAGATTTTGCACCTCCATCACCTATATTGTTATGAGAAAGATCCAATTCAGTAAGCTTACAATTCTCACTTTTCAAAGCTTCACTAAGAGATTTTGCACCTTCATCACCTATACTGTTATGAGAAAGATCCAATTCAGTAAACTTACAATTCTCACTTTTCAAAGCTTCACTAAGAGATTTTGCACCTTCATAACCTATCTTGTTATTGGAAAGACGCAATTCAGTAAGTTTACATTTCTCACTTTTCAAAGCTTCACTAAGAGATTTTGCACCTCCATCACCAATATTGTTAATATAAAGATACAATTTAGTAAGCTTACAATTCTCACTTTTCAAACCTTCACTAAGAGTTTTTGCACCTCCATCACCTATAATGTTATGATAAAGACCCAATTCAGTAAGCTTACAATTCTCACTTTTCAAAGCTTCACTAAGAGATTTTGCACCTCCATCACCTATATTGTTATCAGAAAGAGACAATTTACAAAGTTTAGAATTCTCACTTTTCAAAGCTTCACTAAGGGATTTTGTACCTCCATCACCTATCTTGTTATAAGAAAGACCCAATTCAGTAAGTTTACAATTCTCACTTTTCAAAGCTTCACTAAGAGATTTGGCACCTTCATAACCTATCTTGTTAGAGGAAAGACCCAATTCAGTAAGTTTACAATTCTCACTTTTCAAAGCTTCACTAAGAGATTTTGCACCTTCATAACCTATTTTGTTATAAGAAAGACCCAATTCAGTAAGTTTACAATTCTCACTTTTCAAAGATTCACTAAGAGATTTTGCACCTTCATCACCTATATTGTTATCAAAAAGAGACAATTTACTAAGTTTACAATTCTCACTTTTCAAAGCTTCACTAAGAGATTTTGCACCTTCGTCACCTATCTTGTTATAAGAAAGACCCAATTCAGTAAGTTTACAATTCTCACTTTTCAAAGCTTCACTAATAGATTTTGCACCTCCATCACCTATATAGTTATCAGAAAGAGACAATTTACTAAGTTTACAATTCTCACTTTTCAAAGCTTTACTAAGAGATTTTGCACCTTCGTCACCTATCTTGTTATAAGAAAGACCCAATTTAGTAAGCTCACAATTCTCACTTTTCAAAGCTTCACTAAGGGATTTTGCACCTCCATCACCTATCTTGTTATGACAAAGACCCAATTCAGTAAGTTTACTATTCTCACTTTTCAAAGCTTCACTAAGAGATTTTGCACCTTCATCATCTATCTTGTTATAAGAAAGATACAATTCAGTAAGCTTACTATTCTCACTTTTCAAAGCTTCACTAAGAAATTTTGCACCTCCATCACCTATATTGTTATGAGAAAGTCCCAAGTCATTAAGTTTACATTTCTCACTTTTCAAAGCCTCACTAAGAGATTTTGCACCTCCATCACCTATCTTGTTAGAAGAAAGACCCAATTCAGTAAGTTTGAAATTCTCCCTTTTCAAATCTTCACTAAGAGATTTTGCACGTCCATCACCTATATTGTTATGAGAAATTCCCAATTCAGTAAGTTTACATTTCTCACTTTTCAAAGCTTCACTAAGAGATTTTACACCTCCATCACCTATTTTGTTAAAAGAAACATCCAATTCAGTAAGTTTACAATTCTCACTTTTCAAAGCTTCACTAAGAGATTTTGCACCTCCATCACCTACATAGTTATCAGAAAGAGACAATTTACTAAGTTTACAATTCTCACTTTTCAAAGCTTCACTAAGAGATTTCGCACCTCCATCACCTATCTTGTTATAAGAAAGACCTAATTCAGTAAGTTTACATTTCTCACTTTTCAAAGCTTCACTAAGAAATTTTGCACATTCATCACCAATATTGTTAATATAAAGATACAATTTAGTAAGCTTACAATTCTTACTTTTCAAAGCTTCACTAAGCGATTTTGCACCTCCATCACCTATATTGTTATCAGAAAGAGACAATTTACTAAGTTTACAATTCTCACTTTTCAAAGCTTCACTAAGAGACTTTGAACCTTCATCGCCTATCTTGTTATAAGAAAGACCCAATTCAGTAAGTTTACAATTCTCACTTTTCAAAGCTTCACTAAGAGATATTGCGCCTTCATAACCTATATTGTTATGATAAAGATCTAATTCAGTAAGTTTACAATTCTCACTTTTCAAAGCTTCACTAAGAGATTTTGCACCTTCATCACCTATACTGTTATGAGAAAGATCCAATTCAGTAAACTTACAATTCTCACTTTTCAAAGCTTCACTAAGAGATTTTGCACCTTCATAACCTATCTTGTTATTAGAAAGACGCAATTCAGTAAGTTTACATTTCTTACTTTTCAAAGCTTTACTAAGAGATTTTGCACCTCCATCACCAATATTGTTAATATAAAGATACAATTTAGTAAGCTTACAATTCTCACTTTTCAAAGCTTTACTAAGAGTTTTTGCACCTCCATCACCTATATTGTTATGATAAAGACCCAATTCAGTAAGCTTACAATTCTCACTTTTCAAAGCTTTACAAAGAGATTTTGCACCTCCATCACCTATATTGTTATCAGAAAGAGACAATTTACTAAGTTTACAGTTCTCACTTTTCAAAGCTTCACTAAGAGATTTTGCACCTCCATCACCTATCTTGTTATAAGAAAGACCCAATTTAGTAAGTTTACAATTCTCACTTTTCAAAGCTTCACTAAGAGATTTTGCACCTTCATAACCTATCTTGTTATAAGAAAGACCCAATTCAGTAATTTTACAATTCTCACTTTTCAAAGCTTCACTAAGAGATTTTGCACCTTCATAACCTATCTTATTATAAGAAAGACCCAATTCAGTAAGTTTACAATTCTCACTTTTCAAAGCTTCACTAAGAGATTTTGCACCTTCATCACCTATACTGTTATGAGAAAAATCCAATTCAGTAAGCTTACAATTCTCACTTTTCAAAGCTTCACTAAGAGATTTGGCACATCCATCACCTATCTTGTTATAAGAAACACCCAATTCAGTAAGTTTACAACTCTCACTTTTCAAAGCTTCAGTAAGAGATTTTGCACCTCCGTCACCTATCTTGTTAGAGGAAAGACCCAAATCAGTAAGTTTACAATTCTCACTTTTCAAAGCTTCACTAATAGATTTTGCACCTCCATCACCTATATTGTTATCAGAAAGAGACAATTTACTAAGTTTACAATTCTCACTTTTCAAAGCTTCACTAAGAGATTTTGCACCTTCGTCACCTATCTTGTTATAAGAAAGACCCAATTTAGTAAGTTTAGAATTCTCACTTTTTAAAGCTTCACTAAGATACTTAGCACCTCCAGCTGCTAGTTCGTTACGACTAAGAGATAGTTCAGTAAGTTTACAATTCTCACTTGTCAGAGCTTCACTAAAATATTTTGCACATTTATCACCCATGTTGTTGCCATTGATAATTAATTTAGTAAGTTTAGAATTCTCACTTTTTAAAGCTTTACTAAGATATTTAGCACCTTCTTCACCTATATTGTTTTTTCTAATTTCCAATTCACTAAGTTTACAATTTTCACTTTTTAAAGCTTCACTAAGATGTTTTGATATATTTTTAACAGAACAGGAGATGATTTTCAAAGAAAATACATTGCATGCTGTTGCATTTGTCAAATATTTTGACAATCTAATGACGCTATGATTATCAGGAAATTGGCATGAAAAAAACGCGAGTTTTCTTAATTGTCGGCATTCAGAGAGAAATTCAAAGAAGGCGTTTGAATCAAGAGGCGTGAAAGAAACGTTATTAATGGATATTGTTTCAGAGAAATTATTTGACTCGCAAACTGATCTCATCTCATCGTCGTCTTGTAATTCGTAAAAGCACTTCATTCCAAGAAAACCAAGTGCTTGATTACCCTCAGAGAAAAATACATGTGACGTCCAACTTTCTAACCTGTAATTATAAAAATATCGTATTGTGAAACTTTTAAGAGTTTGGTTTAATTTGTTTAAAAAAATAAAGCCCTTCAGAAAAGCATCTTGACATGAGAAGTTTTTGTAAAACAACTATTGTAACAATAGCTAGCTATAATCGTTTAGTCGCAAATTAAAATAAATCAGATAATGCACACAACGTTTACCAAAGCTAAGTGCAAATTAATATTACATGAAAGTAAAAACTCCTTGCTGCTTCTCAGAACAACCAGTTCAGTTGCGTTGGCGGCGTGATAGTTGACTGGAAGAGGTTAAAGAGGTCAAAATTTATTTAGGCATGTTTTAATTAGTTAATTCGCCAAAAACTTTCATTAAAAACAAATTATATCTGTATGTCATGTATGTACTTAAATGGGCCTTACAGCGCCACGGAGCAAGTTCATAAGAAGCAAAATATTTGTAATTTTACTTTAAGAGTAGAACCTGTATTAAGCGGCACCGTATTAAGCTGTCACCATGTGTTAAGCGGTTATATGGCAAAGTTTCCTGGTGCGAATACTTTTAAAGTGACCTTTATTAAACGGTCATCTCTATTAAACGGACGCGGTTACCTTTTCCAATGTGCTAAGCTTAATTTTTTGTTATTTTGCACTTGTATTAAACGGTCAGGTTAAGTAGGTACACCCCATAATAAAATATATAATTAAATATTTTTGTTGGAACATATCACTTATATTGTATACATGTCTTTATGTTGTATTTATCTTCCATAAAATGACTCAAAAGATCCAACAATATTTTCTGTTTGTGCGAAATAATACACCAGCAATTTAATGTTTCTTACGTCCCTTCAGCCATTGACAAGAAAACCTATCTCCAAAAAAGGGATATAGGCACGAAATATATAAGTTATAAACACTTTCTCTGTTGACACACGTTTGCCAACGATCATTTTTCAGCAGTTTGAGCCGTGACATTTTTATGTATACTATTTTTAATTTCTAGTTAAAACTAAGTAAAAAAGTGCTTTTTATAGTGTTGTTAATTGGCATGTTAACGAACAATACGATTGGTTAACTTTAGTTTGTTAAATGTTACACGTAGCCCGTTTGGTGACTTTCCTAAAGAATTTAATAAACGGTCAACTTGCAATAAGTGGTCAACCTGTATTAAACGGTCACACGAGAACTCCCCATTTGTGACTGCTTAAAACAGGTTCTAGTGTATATAGATGTAAAAGAGATAATTTGTCATGTAAAATTATAGCTACTTTTATCTGGATCGTTTTTGGAGGAATCTCTATACCCACAAAACTTTCTACGACGTTTGTCTCTCTTTCAAAAGCCTTTTCTTTTTGTTTAAAACTCATTTTCGAAATATGTGTAATTGCATATAGTTGTAATTGTTCTAATTAAATGTGATATTTACCCATAAGTACAAAGATCATTCCCTGTTCTCAACGCCGATATTTAAAAAAAACACGTACATGCGTTAGCCTACCTTAGTGTTCTTAATGGCAATATTTAGTCGACGACTTTTCTTCATGCACAAAGAAGGCCTATTATGCTTTGGTGCAAACGCGTAAAATATCGATTGAAATAAAAAGGGAGAATGAGCTTTGGGTCCGGCTAAATTTTTAAGTGTGCGAAAATTTTGTTCAAAAATTTTGCACATGCTTCTACCTTGAATATCAACTCAAACTTAACAAAATAACATGAGCCCCAAGGCAGCCAATCGGCATAATGGTGAAAATTCTGAGCCTACAAGTAACTTTTTAGAAATTGCTCAATTCATCTATTATTTAGATCATTATTTGTTTTAAAATACAATTATCCACTACTAACATCATGATTTTGTTGACTAAAAATTCTGATAATTTTTCCTTTTTTAAAGCTTAAGTTTCTTAACTCCAAATTGCCAGGCTTTTAGCAATATGTGTTTCCTAGGCATGCTGCGTAGCCCCAAATTTAAGAAAAACAGACAACTAAGTAAGTATCGTTCACCATTTTAATTAAAAATGCTACTAAACTGTTAGTTTTATGCACATACAACGTTTACAAAATTATGATTACCACTTGATATAAAATGCCGGAAATTACACTTCCGAGACGTTGAAAACAAAATTTTCCAGGTGAGTATGTCCCCAGACCTTGCAAGGTGGCTAAAGCTTTTGGCGTTTCTTGAATTACGTTCCAGAAGTCCTAGTTCAGTCCCTGCTGGGTAGCAAGTAATTTCTATGTGTTGATTAGAATAATTAAATTTGTTGTCGATTGCTATTGCCGATTAGCGTTCCCAAATCAATGGTTTTACGTCAATGATTGCTTTTTCTGCAATTAACTTACAATTACAACTGTATGGGAACAACGTTTTACAAACAGAAAAATCGGTGTTTTTTTGTGAATATATATGACATGCTAGGTTTAAAGAAAATGTTATTGACATACTCATTAATATACGAGGTTTGAGTAAAACGTTTGTGGATGAAGATCGTCCAGATTAGTAGAGTTCTGAGAAGGACTGTTGGTATTGATGTAGACTGACGTTTCGACAACCTTAGCGATAGTCATCTTAAGAGTCAAGTGTGGAGTAAACGTCAGGATAGCCGTTTTTGTTATCTGGTTCTTACGTCATCGTATTGTGTGTACAGAAATTGTTTTGCAGTGTGGGTTTCAATTGTGTATTGTTAACGTGGATTAGTCTAAAGTTATTAGCTAGTTGATTCTTTTTGTTTTGTGAATGAGCCGTTTGTAAGGAGCCGGTAGTTATTGTGATCTGTTCAGGGGTTTTTGTTTTAAGTTGGTCTACCAACTTTCTAATGTATGCCGTTGTCTATAGTCGTGCTGTAAGTAATACATTTAGATCACAACAATTACCGGCACCTTAGAAATGACTCACTCACAAAACAAACAAACAAGCAACTAACTCATAACTTTAGACTGATCCACAAAAACAGAACACAATTGAAACCCACACACCCACACATTTCCTGTACACAAATTACGACGCTGTAAAAACCAGATAATAAATACGCCTAACCTGACGTTTTAACACGATACTTGAAGAGTGTTTCTACAACTAAGTTTTAATTTAAAGTTATTTTGTCCCAGTCTTGTTTGTTCTTCACTTTATCGCTCGTCAGACGTGGTGAAGCTGCCAATTTTTATTGAGTTTTGCATCCATCTTGTATCAAGATGAAGCTAAACTCTCCTGATTTGAATTGAGTTTACCTCCCAAAAACTGGGCAGAATTTGTTCTTATTTATTTTTTAAAGATGAAGGGAAAGTTTACAACAGAGTTGTGTTAAAATTAAATGCAGTGCCATGCAAAGTTAGTGAGAACTACGGTATATGCTGTATAATATAAAGAAACTATTAAACTGTTTGCCTGCTCAATTTGACTGACTGTATAGTGTAGACAATTATAATGGGTTTGGAAAGTTGGATTTATGCAAACAGTTGTAAAGTACTACTTCGCGTTTCTGTAAGTGAAGTATTTATTGTTATAGTAAACAGGTTACTACTTCAAAACCAAGATAAAAGAAGTGTGTTGAACAATGTGCTAAGATTTGCTCCTACCTTGAAATTTTTGTTCAACAATAGCTTATGATTATATGATTAATATGCATGAAAAATTAAACATATTGTTGTCTTATCTCACCAAATCCATACTTGGTATGATTCCAGGTAATTCACAAATTCACATCGGATACATTGGTTACAATGAAGTTGAATGTAGAGGAAGCAAAAACAGACGGCAAAGAAATTCTTTGTGTCTTATGAAGAATTAGTGCAAATCAATAAATGAATTCTTTAAACAAATTGTAAACAAATTTAAATTGCTCATGATCAAGCAACCTAGTCAGAGAAGCAAAGTCTGTCTTCAACATGTGACCTTTCCAATTATGTTTAGTTCTTTGTACAAAATACTATTTTTGAGAAACTTGATTTGTAAGTCTTTCATTAATGTTTTTTTATGAAGAAATAAAAGAATTAAATTCAAAGGCGTGATGGAAAATACAAAGATTTATCAAGTTGTTTATCTTTTAATTCCTAATTGTTAGTTTGTACATATTAATAATTAGTATTGGTAGCTGTAAGTTGTTCAAGCAAACAGAAGAGTAGTAGTGCTTGAAGGGGTTAGCATTTTTGAAAAATTATATCTTGTTTTTAACATACATTACACAATTCCAAAAGACTATAAGTAATACACAATAATATCTATAGAACTTAATAAATTTCTTCGCCTACACTGTCAATTAATTATCTCGCCTTCATGCAGTAATAGACAGTGTTTTTGTCAGAGAAACCAATGCACTTTAGTTTCCGAATTTGTAATTTCAATGGAAAATTAATGTAGTTCTGTTCAGTAATAGACCCAAGGTTCTGCCAAGCTGTTTACAAAATACAAATTTCCAACCAACATAGCATGGTGTTTTGAATTTTTTTCTTTTTTGTAGCTCTTCTAGTTCAACATACTTTCTTTATGAGGTTTCAGTAGATTTATCAGGTAATGACAATAAACATATGATACTTATCCATGGTAAATTTTCAGTTGACTTATGTCGCAGAACTGAAGCAAACATTTTCTCCCTTCCTTGGGAGCATTTTAACACAGATTTATCCATTTGAGTAAGAGAAATAGTTGCACCAAACTGTTTACAAACAGTCAAACACACAGAAGCATGAAATAAAGTATAAGTTTGACGAGATTGACAGGTCTACTAATGAATGACGTTTGATTTTCACTTTTAAAAGGTTAAAATGTCATAAAATAACTTAAATGTTCCAGCCAAAATATGCGTTTCTCTACCGTCGATTTTCTTTATTTTGATGTGTGTGTGTACTGTGTTTTTCACGCAATGCTGAAGCATTATTTTCACATGGTATGCTGTCGGTATCGTAATTGTTTTTTTCTCACTTGTTTTCGTTCATATAAACAGTATTAGAAATCAGGAGGGAGTGAATATTGAAAAAAAATTTTTAAAGTGGAAGTTTTGACCAACAAAATCCGCCATTACCGCCATGTTTTTCACCACGGGGTCCAGGCCCCTTTTCCCCTCCAGGTGTTATAGAACTCAATGGTCGTTGCCTGCAAATTTTGAGTAAGTTAAAGGCACGGGTAAGCTTTAACTCAGCCCATTGAAGTAAATATATTTGGAATGCTAACTCCATTGAGTTCTATAATAACTGAAGTGGCTATCTCAAGAGCGGCTTTAAATATTGTATGACGCCAACAAAATGGAGGATTTTGTCCTTTGCCGCTGAGATTTACCGAAATTGACAGCTTTTTTGAAAGTTTCGCAATTTTCCACTCCTAAATACACAAAATGTATATTTGTATTTCGGATTCGGCAAGCAATTTTTTGATGAAAATCAAGATAAAATCCTTTAATTCATAATTTGTGTTTTAAGTTATAGCTTATACAGCTGTTTGCTTGTTGCTGTTGTTCGTTTTAAAACGATTTCGAAAATAGTCCTACACTTTTGGAACGTAGTGTTTGGAGAATCCACTAGATTTGTTTTCTCATTAGCAGATTTTTTCACTTAATGCTTGAACATAAGGTTTATTTTATGGGCTTTATATGTATGTATCTTAGTGTGCATTATGCTGAATTCTTTTATTTGCTGTTTAAATAACTTCCCAGTGCATCCAAATACTCTAATGTAAAGCAACAACTCAGTGATCTACAGTGGTCTACATCCGCAAACATGTAAAAACCATTTTCTGAAGTATAGAGCAAACGATCAAAAGAAATCGATCACCAAATTATTTCTTCCAAACTCCACGCGACACTTTAGTTTAAAACTTATCGAGGAGGCATTACTTTAATATTTGCTCATCTGGCTGGCAAAATTAATGTTAAGAAATTGGTGATGATGAATTAACTTAGAAAAATACATCTAGTCACATACAATATGAAGATTCAATCAAACATTTTCAATGATACAAATGCTCATTGATCATAAATTTAATACCTCTCTAGAATAACGCTGATATCTTTTCCCTTCTCTTTCTTTTCATTTCCAACCAAACCAGCAGCAAATTCGATTACCAAATGCCATTTAGGATCTTGAACATGATCATCCAAAAACTTTCCAATGTTTTGCCAATCGTCAACAATATACCACGCTGCAAAAAACTCTTGAAGAGTCAAATGAAGAAAACAGTAAAGATGGCGTTCATCATTATAAATATTATTGAAAATGCCACAGTTTTCCAGATTTTTAAAGTTACTGTTACTTTTTCTTTCAAAAATCAAGCGTCCGTCTTTAAGCCCTTCCATGGCAACATATTTTATTGCTTGTAGATCTTTATCAAGCTCGGATGGTAAAGGAATTCTCAAGTAATCCTTTTCTGTAGTCTTGCCCCTGAGAAGTGGATGGCTTTGCCATAGTAAAACTTTAATTGCTCTATCGTACAATTCAGTCATAGTCTTTGGACTGTAGTTTTCATCATCTGCAAAACATTCCTTTAAGGTCATACAAACAATTTTAGTGTTAATAGGGATATAACAAAAGCTGCGAAGTTCAAGAGAAATTTCAATCTTATTTAGAATATGGTCAGCGATATTCCTATCTTCATGACAAAACTTTTCCACGAATTCTTTTATCTCATCCTCAAAAAAGCCCAAGATTTCCACTGTCCTCGCGAATTCCATACCTCTAAATTTACGTTCAGCTGTGGGTCGTGATGTAATAAGAACAGTAACATCAGGCAATAGTTTACCTTCAACTAGCATACTTAAGTGTGTAATGACGGCCCTTTTTTCATTAGGGGACCCTGAGTCATCAGTTCGAAGATCTCCATTATATAAAGGCAATTCATCAAGACCGTCGACGATAAGAACAGTTCTTTCAGGATTTAACATTATGAATTCGTAAATATCTGAAAACTGTTCAAATGACAATCCAACGCAACTTCTTAGCATTTTTTTAAAAGTAATGTACTTCTCTTTAATCGCACGACATTGCAATAAAATGACCAGCTTATCGCGCAAAAAATTGTCTTCATTTGTCTTCCATTCATGAATAAGTTTTTTTGTAAACATAGTTTTACCAATTCTTGGCCTTCCGATGACTAAAATGGAGCTAGGATACGCCTTGCTATTTGGAATTGACTTAAAAATGTCAGCTGCTCTTGTTAGTTTTTTCGCATTTTCATTAAGGTTGAAAGGACAATGAAGGATCTCGTGTCTTTCATGCGTATCTAAGTAAGCTTTACTTAATTCTCTTTCTGCTTGCACTTTGACGTTGACATAAATATCTTCAAGATTTTGCACAGACATTTGTGCATTGCCTACGTTATCGTGAATATTAAATAATTTGTTCAAGTGAAGTTTATTTTTTATTTCTTTTATCCAATTTCGAAATTCTGCACGTTTTGAAAAGAGGTATACCGTGAAAAATTCCTTATCTGATGTGAAAAAATTGTCATTAACGGCCTCATTTAATAGGTATATTAGCTGACATATCGTCATTATTATCGATAAAACATCAACAGCTACAACAAATTTAATCCACCATTCACTGTTACCATCGCGAATTTCACAATTAACAAATGTCTCGTTATATGGAAAAAGAATTGTACTGTATAACAAAGATTTTTTGTTTGTTGTTTGACGCCAGGAACAAGAATAGTCAATGGGAAACATGCCTGGAAACAGTACTGTAACAAATATAGACAAACCAACCACGCGTACAGTCAAATAAATAATGTAATAATTAAATGCCCAAGAACTAGATAAAACCTTTCTGACTTCACTGCTTCTTTCTGACAAGAACTTTTCAAAGTTTTTAAGTCGATTGCTCACAGACAGTCCATAGATCATACCCCAAAAAAAGAGAAAAAAGAAATTGAAGGACACCACATATATATTATCCCAAGTTTCATATTGGTATTGTCTCAAACATCTTGATTCAATATTCTTTATGAGAGAAATTTCTTGGGATTTTGAAATCATCTTGTCATTACAAGTAAAAGAAGTTTGACGATCAAATGTTTTCGAAATTCCAGAAGCGATGATTGTAAATGTGAAATAGATATAGAGCAGTATTTGTTCAAACCAGGGAAAACAATTCAGTGGTATGACTCTGAAAATAGCATCCATTTTCGTATCCTTTAAAAAATGGATGAAATAGACATGACTAATTTAGTTTCAACAATCCCCGTATAGACATCGACCACATTTGTAAGAGCATAAACTGCAGTATAAAATAATACAGACCATTATTTGTGGCTTCAGTTAGTTCCACACAGTTTGTCTTCCAGATTGTATATATTGGAACAATTTCAGCCTATATTGTATCAAAAATGTATAATTTGGTTGCAATATTTAGTAGCTATGAAAAAAATCCAGTACATGCAATAGCAACAGTAGTAATAATACTATAATAATAATAATTTTAAATTTTAGCAGGTCAATCTTGTAAGTTTAAAACGTATAGCTGTTTTCATTAGGATATCTGCATTCAAATTATTTCAGTAAAATAAAAAACTTTCTAGAATTTATGCGATAGAGTTTCATAATAAAAAACATTTAGGATGTCCAAAAGGTTAAAAGAGAAAAAATACGATAGTATACACTAAAAAATTACAAATTAGTTTAGATTATAATATAAATCATACTTAAAAATAATTTACGCTCGTCCTTGAATCCTAGTAAAGGTATGTAAAGGTATTTCTCTTCTATAGCTGTATGAAAGTTAATTACTTTAGCAGTTTCGCAATATAAATGTTCCGGAAGATATTAGGATTGTTTTGAAGAATTTTAAAAATAAGTTCGATAAGGGTAACTAATGGGTTTTGTTTTCCATAGTACGACTTTTAATAAATTTATTAAAAGCTTAAAAAAATCTTGTAAAGCTTAAGTCACATAACGTACATTAATTTAGTTATAGGATATCCTAAAATACCTATGATCTGTTTCTAAAATACCTATTTTAGAGTATTGTGAATTCAAGCAAATAATTAAAGAAAAACGAAGACAAATGTTGCGTCAGTTATAAAAAATCTGTAGTTTGCAAACAAAACGTCACAGAATATGGAATATACAAAAGGTCACTCGTGTCGGACCCTTTGATGTTTTTGTCCTCGCGTATGTTGTGCCGCGCATATCTGCAGCCATTATTCCAGTAAGATATTTAGGACTTTTCACTTGTTCCAAACCACTTAAATGACACGACGTCATTTCTTATATTGAAATTATTTTCATTTCATTGTGAAAAAATGAGGTCATGTAATTACAGTGGTTGAAAACAAGTGAAAAACCCGAAGTATCTTGCTAGAATGTTGGCAGCCGTGAGGATGCAGTGCTCACTTGAGTGGCCTTTTTGTATAATTTTTATTCTGTGAAAACGTGTTTTACTGATGACGTCATAGCTTATTAACATGGCCACTTGAAAAGTTTGCACATTAGGTCCGTATTCAGCAATAAAATTAACTAACTTCTAGCGAACTGAAAAGATTTATTTATATATCAAATTAAATCTTGCACTGTGGATTTTTAGTTACAGAGAAAAAAATAGGCGATCAAACACTTTGAACAAGGCAGATGGTCAATCCGTTTGTACTCCTGATGATGACCTCGTGTACCTGTGGATTTACCCGAGAAACGTCACGATGCTGCACACCATGTTCATGAGAGTGAAAAGCTCAGAACTCAATTGTCTGAATGTTCATATGAGTCCATGCCTTCATTGTTTATTAACATCATTTACCTTGATGTTGCCACCTCTTTCTGACTGGTTGATGAGGATGAAACAAGTACTGAATGCGTAATTACTGTGCATATGTGTAGATTATCCTACAAATCTACACTTTGTGCAGATTTAACATACTGTTTATCTAGAAGAGGACCGATTTTAAGCAACTGAATTGCTAACTTTTCTCAATAAATTCCCTGAAGAATTGTACCAAAAGGTCTTTGTTGACAGCTTCGCTTCCCCAAGTTGAGGAAACATACTACAAATATCTACGCTATTCTTGAATGATTTTGAACAGACTCCCACTGCGTATAATTTTATAAATCTTAAATGCACAAATTGAAAATGACATGAAATGCGGTAGAATTGTTAAACTTTCATGATTTTTCGTCAACATTATAAGTAGTGTACAGAATGCAAGAAGTTCTGATATAAAATTTGTCTTCGGAATCATGTGTTTAATTAGCTATAATTATTCATCATCCATAAAAATGTATTAGTTTTAGCAATTAAAAGTGAACATACAACAAATATCTATGCAATTCTTGAATTACTATGAAAATAATCTTACTGTTAAATGATTTGATATCCTTCATAAAATAGTTGCAAACATTGGGATTTTAGATGTATTCAGGATATGAACTTTCAACTATATTTATTACGCTACGTGTAAATTCAATATGTGATTTAAATAAAGTCATAACAAAGCAACGTCACCATGAAAATGTGAAGATGTGAAACAAGAGTTTACGCTGACAACATGTATGGAAATATTTATCGAATTACGTGCAAGGTTCACACTCTCAACTTAAACAAAATCACATTTGGCTATTGTTTCTTGGTTTATTTATCAGCTACATTTGGCCGGTATTTATAGTATTTCCCAATATTTGGTGAATATTTTTGTTTTATTTAGTAAATTTCATAAAAGCACAAGTACAAATCAAGAAAATAAGAAACAGTTTCTCTCACCTACGTCCGATCCTTTTTGTCTGTACGTTTAGGAATAGGTGGGACTTGAAATTCTTTACCAAACACAGGCTTCTTTCACATCTCACTATGTAGCGGAAATGATAAAAGCAAAGAAAACAGGATCTTGTTATACTCTATCATCAGAAAATTCCACGCGTGTTGGCAACGCCAAGTCCAAAAACCAATAAAATACTTGCTATTACGGTTTCTCGCGCGTGCGTCACGAAATAATGAAATGCGTGATTATGTAACTACTGCGTCACACAAATTATTGTATTGCATATGATAATTTCAAAACTAATGTGTGGACTTTCAAAATTTCAACAATACATGTAGATATACAAATTATTCATCATGTGAACATATCGTGATTCATTATAATTAAATCATAATATTATGTAAAATTACATATTGTATATTGCCAAATTCCTTTGTAATTATTTACATAAGGTATTGTTATGAATATTTTCAGCTCCATATTAATCCTTATTAATGTCACATTATAGGACAAAACAGTAAGGCCACTTCGCTGTGCAACTGGCTGCTGTATATTTGGTTTACAGTCTGCCGTTTGCCATTTCGTCGATCCTATTGGTCACACAATGCCAATTACTGGCTGCCAATAAGGTAATCAAATGCGTAATAAGATATACGTGGCACGTAAAAATTAAATGGAGTGGTCCTACTGAATGTTCTCTATACTGTGATACTGTCGATGAATGTTCGCTCACGCCACTTTCTCTCAAGAAATCTTTTTTGTCACACGCTCTTTTAATCTGTAGATTAAAGTAAATAGCCCTAAGGTTTTGTGCTAGAGCCTTCTTTGTAAATTTCTTATCGGCAAACGTAAGGCAATAAAGTCAGCATGAACGTTTTTCTCTCAGCAGCTGTTCTAATTATCAAACATGTTGTATAGAAATTCATTGTGGTCAAAGTCAATGAAGCTTTGAGTATATTCATTGTTTATATTGACAGTAAATATTCAATTTATTTTATAAATTATGCAGCATAAAAAACTAATGTTTAAAGCTGAAAATTCTGAAGGTTTACCTCCTTACTTTCTTTATTTGTTTCAGTAGTGGATCTAGAGGTAGTCACAGCGAGCAGCATCGAGCAAAATAAATTAAAGCTGAATAATTTTAAATTGAAAGAACGCAGGTTATGTCTTTTTCAAAAATTTTAAGTACAAAGAATTGTAATACTGGTTTCCATGAGTCATTACCATGGTTAAGGTTTTTCCAACAGTTAAAAACAGTACGTGAAAACCTTTAATGTCCTTATCAACAAGCGAATTCCCTAGAAGTGTACCTCCCCCGCAAATACACTTTCAAAATAAATCAGTCGAGCACGTCTGCATTTACGAATATGGACCTTCCAAGGTTCAACGTTCTAGATACGCCACTGATCATAACCTTTCGCTTGGTTTCAAGGTCTGCAGCAAGTTATTTAAACACTATGATGTTAAATCGTAATATTATGTAAAATTACATATTGTGTACAGTCAAATTCTTTTGTAATTATTTACATAAGGTATTGTTATGAATATTGTCATCTCCATATTAATCGTTTATACTCTCACAGTACAGGAATATACAGAAGGGCCACTTCGATGTGCAACTGGCTGCTGTATACTTAATTCGATTTACTGGCTGCCGTTTGCCATATCGTCAATCCTATGGGTCATACAATGCAATTTACTGGATGCCGATATGTTAATCACATGCGTAATAAGATATACGTGGCACGTAAAAATTGAATGGACTGGTCCTACTGTATGTTCACTATTCTGTGATACTGTCGATGAATGTTCGTTCACGCCACTTTTCCTCAAGAAATCTTTTTTTGCCACACGCTCTTTTAATCTTTAGGTTAAAGTTTATAGTTTAATGACGTTAAGGTTTTGTGCTAGAGCCTTCTTTGTAAATTTCTTATCGGCAAACGTAAAGCAATAAAGTCAGCATGAACGTTTTTCTCTCAGCAGCCGTTCTAACTATCAAACATGTTGTATAGAAACTCATTGTGGTCAAAGTCAATGAAGCTTTGAGTATATTCAAAGTTTATATAGACAGTAAATATTCAATTTATTTTATGAAGTATGCAGCATTAAAAACTAGTGCTTAAAGCTGAAAATTCTGAAGGTTTACTTCCTTACTGTCTTTATTTGTTTCAGTAGCGGATCTAGAGGTAGTCACAGCGAGCAGCATCGAGCAAAATAAATTAAAGCTGAATAATTTTAAATTGAAAGAACGCAGGTTATGTCTTTTCCAAAAATTTTAAGTACAAAGAATTGTAATACTGGTTTCCATGAGTCATTACCATGGTTAAGGTTTTCCAACAGTTAAAAACAGTACGTGAAAACCGTTAATGTCCTTATCAACAAGCTAATTCCCTCGAAGTGTACCTCCCCGCAAATACACTTTCAAAATAAATCAGTCGAGCACGTCTGCATTTACGAATATGGACCTTCCAAGGTTCAACGTTCTAGATACGCCACTGATCATAACCTTTCGCTTGGTTTCAAGGTCTGCAGCAAGTTAGTTAAACACTATGATGTTAAATCGTAATATTATGTAAAATTACATATTGTGTACAGTCAAATTTTTTTTTGTAATTATTTACATAAGATATTGTTATGAATATTGTCATCTCCATATTAATCGTTTATACTCTCACAGTACAGGAATATACAGTAGGGCCACTTCGCTGTGCAACTGGCTGCTGTATACTTAATTCGATTACTGGCTGCCGTTTGCCATATCGTCAATCCTATGGGTCATACAATGCAATTTACTGGATGCCAATATGTTAATCACATGCGTAATAAGATATACGTGGCACGTAAAAATTAAATGGACTGGTCCTACTGTATGTTCTCTATACTGTGATACTGTCGATGAATGTTCGTTCACGCCACATTCCCTCAAGAAATCTTTTTTTGTCACACGCTCTTTCAATCTTTAGGTTAAAGTTTATAGTTTAATGACGTTAAGGTTTTGTGCTAGAGCCTTCTTTGTAAATTTCTAATCGGCATTCTTTGTAAATTTCTTAACAGGAAGTTATGTTGTAACGTTGAAAAAACGTTGTCTAAACGTTAAGATGAACGTTAGTACAAGGTGATTTTTCGGTCATCGGCGTTGTTAATAGGGACCTTAACATTTTACGACGCGCTTTTAAACGACGCTAGTTGTGCGCGCACGTCCTGGGGCGAGACGCAACGGCGTAGATTATACATTTTGACTTAAGTTTTTGACTGCGCGACGTGCGTAGTTTCAGCAACATCATTTTAGAGAATTAAAAAATGTCGTCATTCATAAATGCAAGAACTGCTATGGCTTTTGCCTATGATGCACCTTTAATTAATGACGAGGAATATGTCTTACTATGCGATTCTTGCCGTTCGAAAAATCCTGAAATAATGCACAATGATTATCCATCATTTGATCTGGTAGAAATAGACGAAGTTACCTGTTGTTTGGATTTTCGTTTTAAAAAGCATGAAATACCGCTGCTTGTTGAAGCTTTAGGTTTGCTTTACCAATTCAAGTGCAAGCAAGGAACAGTTTGCACTTGAATTGAGGCTCTTTGCATAGCCCTTCGTCGTTTTGCTTATTCTTGCAGATGCAGTGACTTGGTATCACAATTTGGTAGATCTGTGCCTGAACTTAGCATGATTATCAATTCTGTGATAGATTTTATCAATGAAAGGCATGGGGAAAAATAACAAATTGGAATCACGATTTACTGAGTCCCAATAACTTGAAAATTTATGCTGAAGCAATCCACCAGAAAGGAGGAGCTTTAGACAATTGTTTTGGTTTCATTGATGGCACAGTGAGGCCAATTTGCCATCTAGATGAAATGCAAAGTTTACTATACAATGGTCATAAGAGGGTACGTGCTATAAAGTTTCAATCGATCACTCTTCCTAATGGAATGATAGCCAATTTGTTTAGACCAGTTGGTAAGCGCATCATTTGACTAATATCTTTATGTTTACTTTGAGTTTCATTTAATTTTTTTGTTTTATAGAAGGAAAAAGGCACGATTCTGCTATGTTAGCCTCATCAGGGCTACTGCAGGTTCTACAATTATATGCCTTTTACAATGATAAACCCATGTGCTTGTATGGTGATCCAGCCTACCCATTGCGTATGCACCTACAAGCACCATATAGGAACAGGCAACTTACAGTCCATATGCAAGAATTTATCAAATTAATGAGTGCTGTAAGGATATTAGTTGAGTGGATTTTTGGGGACATAATAAACTATTTTAAGTTTCTTGATTTTAAAAAAGATCTATAAATCAACCTTAGTTGTGTTGGAAAAATTCATATAGTGGCTTCATTGCTTAGAAATGCTCTGACCTGCTTGCACTCAAATACAACCAGTAAATTTTTTCAACTTGAACCACCTTCACTTCAAATGTATTTTTCTTAATTTTTCAAAAGCTTCATCATGTGATTATAAAGCCTATCAACAATAAATAAATAACTGTTTAAAGAAAACATATTGTCTACAAGTTAAAGACATTGTTATCTCATTTCTCAACCAATTTAGCCAAAAGGGAAATCAAAGCTTGCCCATGTTATTTGTTGTTGTTAAAAGCAAAAGCAAATTGTTGATTTCTTGCTTTTTCTGCAATTGCACTGAGATCAGTTTCAAAAGCAGCCAAGCCACAACATCATTTGCCTCCTCTCTAGCATTAATTTCCTCTAGCAAGTCATCCAGCTCATCATGTTCTGGAGAAATTCCACTTGCAGCTCTTTCTTCTCTCTCCTTTACACGGTAGTTGGCTATCAATTTTTGCATACGATCTATAACTGATCGCTGATCTACTCGAAAGCATAGATGGTCTTGAATTTCCAACTTTCTGGCAATGCAGTCCCACAACTTTCCTCTTTCGATAGATTTCTTCCTTGTCTCAAAGATTTATGACACCACTATCTTTTTGCACAATTCAATGTGATGTTTTATTGTCCATTTTATCACAAAGCCAATTCTAAACAGAATTTAGACATGATGAGTAGGAATCAAGCAATATACAAGGTCAATTCTCTTAGGTAGAACCTGCATGAAAAGAGTTAAAAGAACTAGTATAATATGCTGACATATCTAATTCAGTATAAATTAGAATTATTTGGATGTATAATATTTTATACATGTTTCATTACTTTGCCAACTTAAAAGTTAAAGTTCACAGAATGTCTAATGCTCATTAAATATCCAAAACTTCGCAAGGGCTTTATTCCTACCCATACTTGAAAAAAACAACATGATAGCAGCAAAGAATACATGGCTTTGTTATTGATTTGATTAAAATTATCAATATCTACTGATATCCTAGGATTTCATGCCCTTTCTCACCAAAGACAAAAAGTTTAACTTACGATGAACTTCTTGAGTATGATGCTTCAGAAGTCATACTTTAAATTAAGAATTCCCTATTACAAATAAAATTTGAGTTTACAAGATGTCTTTGAGATTATGTTTTATTATAAATTTTTTTATCAAATGTGTATGGCTTGGCAGTTAGGCATTTTATCGTTTGACAGAAGGAAAGCTCATTTTCACTTACCAGAGAAGCAGAAATAGGACTTTTCAACCTTTTTATTTTCTCCAATTCGCAAGATGGTCTTCCGCTCTACGACGACTCCAAAACAAGTAAAAACGCCGCGTCGTACGCGTGCAAAAAAATAAACGACGCTTGCGCATGCGCATTTGTCCTAATTGTACTTCCGTTCGCGTTGTTGACAAGCGCATCGTAAAATCTTAAGGTCCCTAATGTCTAACGTTGTATGAACGTTGTCTAAACGTTAAAGTAATTTTTTGGTCGTCGGCGTTGTTAATGTCTAACGTTGTATAAAACTTGCTTAACCCTTTAAGTACCAGTGTCTGATATATCCAATGAACTCTACAACAACTGGAAGGCTAAATCATTATACACAAACCTAGACTTGTTTGGGAATTGTGGCAATTAACATGGCCAAACCATACAAATTTCCGTTGCTTTACAATGGCTAGGAGCTGTTGTTGTTTTACCTGCAGCATCATCAATTTGTTGCATGACATACTGGTTGGTCTTGTGCTCTGAGTAATGGATGCCTAGTAGTTAAAAGTAGCACTTGTTCTCAAATGCCTGGATCCGCCTTTCAGTTTCTGCATTCAACGTCCAGCTTTCACATCCATACAAGAGGATAGAAATCACCTGTGATTTGTATAACTTGATCTTAACAGGGAGGCTGATGTTTGTGCTCTTCCAGATGGTGCCGAGTCTAGTCAATGCTGCTGTAGCTGTGCTTCGCCACAAGTCCCTGGCTAAGACCATACTCCAGGGAACCGTAGAAAGAGGACGTAGAAGAGGCCGTCAACGAAAAACCTGGTTCGACAATGTTAAAGAGTGGACTGGACACATACTAAGCAAATTGCTGAGGATGACAAAAGACCGAAGACAATGTAGATCCCTGACTGCAGTCTCTATTATGACACCCCTACGACATGAAAATGTCACGGGACTGACATGACATGACCTGACAGATTTGTTTGAAGCCACATAGAAGCTGATTTGCCACTTTGCGTGTATCTCGCATGGACTGTTTTATTTGCTTGAGTCGAGAAGATTTTATAAAAAAACGGCATGGCTTACTATGTAAATTTTTCAGGGCGGCTAAAAACTTCAAATACTTCAAAATCGGGTATGAAATTTGAAAAGCTGCGTGATCAAATCTAAAATAAAATTGACAAGAGACGATGGGTGTAATTATTTGCTTTATTTTGTGAAAAATGAAAATGTGATGTGCGCGAATCTGCTTATGAACAGTTGAACATGGAAGGTAATCTCTTTCTTTAAAAATTTAGAAAAATAATCAAATACGGGTTATATAACAGGATCAGGAAACGTTTCACTGATTTTTCAATAAAATGAGCTTCGTCAGACGATGCCGGTCGCTTTGTTTCTCTTTTGCTACAACTGATTTGTTGTAACGTTTTCCATACGTGAATAATCGAAGCTTGAAGTATCTCTCTGCTGTTAGTTTGATGAGCTTAGACCTGTGTTCTTCTTCCAAAACACCTTTTACCAATACAGTCTCGTGGTCTTCAAACACTCGATGGCTGGAATTCATAATAAAATAATTGCAGACGTTTAGGATCATTCTTTGCTTAGTATTTTTGTAATTAAATATGCTTCGGGGTTAGCCTGTTGCCAAGGGTAAATCCCTCACTTTCCTGGAGGGTGGTTAAGGACTCAAAAAAACTCCCATTTAATTGAGTTCTTTTTGCCATCAACAAATGATTTCAAATGATGTAGGGCATTTCTTGCTAATTTCAACATATGACATGGATCAAGGATAGCGTAGATGTAGAACTTTTGTGTAGGATGTTTAAATTTTGTAATTATTGTGTTGTAGGATGTTGTGAAAGTGCAACCAAATTGTCTGAACATTGTTAGGCTTACTGTTGTGCCATCTGATGTGATTGACCACACACGAAGTCGTGCTTCAGCTGCCAATGAAAGTGCCCTAGTGGCAAGTTCGGCTTGTGTTTTGCCACTCAATTTGGTTGCAAGAAAATATCCTATTGGACATTTCCAGTGACTTCGTGCACCAACAAAAAGAAATACAACGGCTTCAGTTGCAATTTCACTTGTCTTTTCAGTTGTTATTGGTCTATAGTAAACAAAGTCCACATATCTCTCTTGATTTGCATCCTACCAGGTTTGTTTGCTAATTTCCATTGCATCTCTTACAAGGAAGCCATCTCTCTTGTCTGTAGATTTTTTGACTTCTTCTGATAATGAAATGAATGCTTCCTTAATGAATCCAGGCTCACATTTTTAAGTTCTGGACCATTTTTATCATTGATGGATTTGGAAGAGGCTATATTGATCTAACATACTCATATGAGTATTAGCCTTTGGTAAATAATAGTTAATAGTTGTTGAAAATTCTTTCACAGCATCTGAATATCTTCGTGCACAAGGTGCACAATTAACATTGTTTTTGGTGTCTCTAAATATTGAGAATTGTATCTGGTCAAACTTCGCATGCAAATGTTCAGCAGCATCACTTGATATAATCAGTTTTTCTTTTAGTTCCTGAATAATGTCCGTCAATGTTTGTTGTTTTGCTTTTGCCCGCCTTAGTTGTTGTTGCAATCCTCTAATTTTTCTTGTTACTTTTCCTTCCAGGTATGTTCTTGACTCATTTGCTTCTCAAATGTGTCATATCCGCAGCAAATGTTACTGGTGTCGTGTTGTTAGCAAATGTTGATGGTGCAGTAGCCGTAACAATTGTCACTGGAGTTGCAACTGTAGATGTTGTGGGTTTGAATAATTGACAGTTGAACAGAACATTCAATACCAAGGTTATTGTTGCGATAAAACTGCAAGCCTAGAAATATAAAGATAAGTAGCTATATATACTAGTGTATAATTAAAAAGTAAAAAAACTTGATCAAGGATGTACTTCATATAAGAGTGTAAGAATGTAGCCATTTGACCATGTGACCGACTAACCGTAGAAGAAATAAAATAAATACATGTTGAACGACGTTTTGTCGCTTCATTCTCCAGATCACAAAATGAATTCTCGAATATATTTTCTTTTCATAAAATAATCTGTGAAAAGTGTTAGACATAAGACAACCGGCGATAAGCAACATCACAGTCCATATCATCGTGTTGATGAACACCTAAAGTTAGAAATTTATAAAAGATTTAAAATTTTTAAATTTTATTAGGGGATCTTTAGAGTAGCATAGGATATGTTGTCCTTCATGAACTAAAGTTGTAGATCAATAAAGCGTTACATCGTTTTAATGCTAACAAATATTACCAGAAAAAAAGCACAAATATGATTCCTTTTGGGTATTGTTTTTAATGCTATATTTAAAACAAATACTATTTATCAAATAATAAATGGCCGATTTTGTTTACCTATAACTAATGGCCAGTTAATGATGGTGAATTGCTCATACAGTCCAATTAAAAAAAACACAAGCATCACCATGGCAACAATTAAACAAGTAACCATGGCAAACATTCCAAAATCTAAGCTTCCTGTCCCTGCACAAGAATTGAAGGCACAACCTGCATCGTCTAAAAGCAGCCTCATTAAAACGATCGCACACAATAGCATAACCTACAGAAGAATGAAATGTTGCATCAATATTATATCCATAAAAAATCAGATATACATAACATATCAACTGCAATGCATTTATAATTCAGTCATAAGTTTAGATAAAATGATTTACTCACAGACGCGAATAATTTATCGACACATTGAGTCGTTTTTAGAAACGAAAAGCCTTTCAGTATCGTCCCCATGTTTGGCTTTTATTGCTTGTATATAAAAAAGAAGAGTAATTTTTTGTAAATTGACACAAAAAATGAAGAGCAAAAATTTTTCATCGAAGGCAATTTGCTTTAAATTTATTCGTACTCTGAGGCAAAAGAGCTGAATGTTTTTGGAAGAAGGTTGAAGCTTCATCAAATTTTTTTAATTTCATGATTTATCAATCCCAGAAAGAAACGACTTTTGATTATGAGTCGAAGAAATTGAAAAGATCTAAATGACCGGCAACGAAGAAAGAAGTAGCATGGTTAAATTTCCAGCCAGCATTTAAAAATCATCAAGAATAGTTTCACAGTTACTTTCAAATAGTGTAGAGTTGAAAATTGAAACGCGTTAACTGTAGTTCAAGAGACTCGCGCTATACAACTAAATTGTTCGATCTGAGTTTTACTCAATAGTTCACAACGGGAAGCTATGCATTATTTACGAGCAACTCGTAAACAAAGGAACCCACCTACATAATGAGTTGGGAAAACACAGAAACAATTCGTAACAAAGGAAGAAGATTGCGCAGTTTAATTTTCGTTGATGAGCTGGTTGCTATGGAGTTATACAAATACTTCGTTTTTCTTTTTTTTTCTTTTTTTTTCTCTACTTTACTTTAAAAAATCGCGTTAGCACAGCAAGAGGAAGTAGGAATTTTTATTCTACAGTAAAAAAAAACTTAGCAACAATTTGCTGAGTAACTTGGTCGTGCATGTTTAATGAGATTAGTAATTGAAGTTAATCGTTTCATCATTGCTATTGGTCAAAAAATGCAACAGACAGTCTGCCATTTTGATGATGACAAGTGTAATAAGATATACGTTGCAAAATTTTCTATAAGTTATATCTCCAACATATGGAGTCTTCTTTCTGAAGTGACAACGCTTCATCCTCAGGCTTTTTTGCCAATCTTTCTTTTCATACGTCTTTCATTATCCATATGATTATTAACACTATTAAATTCCATATACATTCATACATAGAAATGATAATATTTAAACACACTAACACGAGTAACGACGTCAACTTAAGGGGCGCATGAAGTAGCTATTAATAGTTATTAATAGTTATTATTATTAAAGTTATTCACAAAACACTACATACAAAAAAATTAATACTTAGAATATGACATAGTGTATAAGGTTATAAGTTTATTACGTAATCACAATTGATTTCAATAGAAATTAATTAAGTAAAACGTGTATTACAAAAATATTACCCCTCGGAACCAATTATTAATCTTCGGCCACCCTTGTTACTTTTTACCAAATAATACTGTACATTTTCAGTTTATCTATGATAATAGGGACCTTAGTTAAATAATCAGTTGAAACTCAGTTTGTTTGCTTCATTTATTTAACAAAAGTGCAGTTTTAAGTAAAATCGGTGAGAAAAATAGCCACAGTTTCAACTGATTATATAATTAATGTAACTGGCGTCGTCGTACAAGTTCTGCTTTTGAATAGATGATAGTTTAAGTTTGCGTCGACTGCAAAAATAATGGTTGCAATGAAACAGCAAACCTGAAAAATAGAGATAAGTAGGCTAAATACTTGAATCACCAAAAAACTTTTCTTTGGCAGACCAATACTTCATGTAAGTGTGTGGCAAAATGTGATTAAGTAGTCATTTAACTCATTGATATGTATATAACATGGATCGTGCATCACTAATTAAATTTGAAGCTGGAAGGTGGCCATATTGAACAGTCCCACTTCACGAGGTTGACATACAAATTATATTAATTTCATACAAATTATATTAATTTCTGCTGCGAAAAAGTGCAAAATCTCTTAAGGTGAATTGACAAAACTTCTACGTATTAGCTTTAATAAGATTAAATGTAGGAAGCAGTTGTACTGTTAAAAAAGGATTTTTTTCCAAAATTTTCGTGACACCATTTGAGAGATACTATCGCAAAAGAATGCGTTTAGCTTCACGTTGAAATGGTGTATAAGTTCAATGCGCTCCAAAATTCATTGTTATTGTGGTTATTTACGATAGATTATCATTGTGAGTTGGACTGTTCAATATGGCGGCGCATCTAATTTTAGCTGTCTACTTCTGGCTTCAAATTTTTGCACTAACGTTATCGGAAATGCACGATCCCTGTAATATACATATCAATGATTTAACTACGTGAATGACTAACCGTAGCACTAATAAGATGAAAGCATGTTACACCGACTTTATCAGTGTCCAGGGAGTTACATAGTGTATTAGAGATCTTCTTGCTATAATATTTTCGAAGAGTGTTGGACATAACACCACAAGCTATTAACAGCATTACACCCCATAGCACCATGTTGATGAACACCTAGAAATAGAAATTTCAAAGAGTCTCAGGCTTCTCTACGAGAAAATGAAATATAACATTGAGTACGATACTTTTCATTGACAAAAATACTGCGCAATATTATCTTGAGGACAATTATTGATTGAACAAAAACAAAATTTCTTTGATATTGTATACCTACCGTCAATGGCCAGTTAATCACAGTGACTTTTTCATGCAATCCAGTTACAAAAACAACGACCATCACCATGACAACAATCCATGAGACGACAATTGCAAACATTCCAAAATATAAGCTACCTTTTCCTCCCCAAGGGTTGATGGCAGAACCTACGTTGTCTAAAAATGCTCCCAATGTACTTATTGCAATCAATAGTACACCCTACAAATGAATGAAATATTTCGATATATATGCATAAAGCATGGAACTGAAAAATATAACACGTGTATAGTATAGAATTTGGCCGAATGCAGTAATTGCGAGGGTCGGCCATAATTTTAAATAAAGTAAACCACTTACAAATTCTGCTATCTTCAAGAAAAAGGGAATCGTTTTGATGTATTTAGTTCCCTTCGGTATCGCCCCCATGTTTGGCTATAATGCTGATATGCAAAGAAAAGTAAGTTGACGTCATGACTGGTTGAAAAATGACATGTCAAAATTATTAATTAAAACCAAGTTTAGGTCAGTTATATTACGATTGTGTGCTTAAAATTGGATTTTTTGTTTTTCCAGTTGCTGTGTAAAAGAGCCTGTATTTTAGAAAATACGTGGTAGTGCAAGACATTGAATCTATAATTTATTAATTATAAAAAAAACATGTTTTAGCATGTTAATTCGATAAGAAACATAAAAATAAAAATGACAGTTAAGAAAAAAGAAAGAACATAGTGACATTTCCAGCAATCGTATGAAACACTTACCGCAAAAAGTTTCGCAACTACTTGTGAACGATATCCAGAGATAGCGTTGAGTTGAAAAATTAAACAGGCAAGCTGTTGTTCAGAAGACTCGCAGCTCTTTACAATAATTAGTACAAGTCTCGTTATATATAATGTTATGAAAGTTATGCATTATTGATCAATCTCCACCTTGCAAGGAAAATGAAGTCACATGTCACTGGAAAAGCACAAAATCAGTCAGTTCAGCGTTCTTATCGGTTAGAAATTACAATTTACTGGCTGGCGTGGTTGCCACTATATGATAATTAAATGTGTTATAAGAGAAGCGCATCAACAAAAAAATCACTACAGTGGCCCTCCGGCCCTACTGTTTGTTATCTATACTGTGTTTCTTCTGTGCAAATTTTATGTCCGTTTTTAGTCAATTCCATATTTTAAATAAACACAAAATACCTTCAATGTATTAGTAAAAAATTGCCTCGTTTGTCACTGCTAATCAAATCCAATATTATCTTAACATATCAATCTATACTTTAACAATTGACTGTAAATCATAGAAACACTCTTGTTTTAATAATAAAAGGTAAAGTATGCATCTGAAATAATGACCTTGAACCACTTCCAGTAAACATGTGAAGAAGCAGGTAGCAAAGGATATAGTTATATCTTGAATCAGCACCTGTCTGCATGGACTGCATGCTGTCTGATATTTTTAAATTAACATCTATATGAAAATTTTGTTTAGGAGATAGAAAGGAGAATTACAATCAGAAATTTTCTGGAAAAATTCACAGATAGGCATAAAATATTATTTAAGCACGCGGGTCTGGTGATATAAATTTATTAAAAGTGTGATTACACAATTTATATCACAAGTAAAGGAATAATTAATTACGAGTTTCAATTAAATTTGCTCTTGCAATAATTTATTCGTAAATCCACCTGTTATTCTAAAGAGTAGCGTATTTTTAAATGAAGCTAAAAAATGCAAGAAATGTATTGTTTCTATAACATATGCATAAAAAAGGACTTTAGTGTTAGGTGTTGGACGGTCTATAAACAAGATGTTTATAATGATGTCGCAGAGAGACAATTAAGATGGTGCTTTTTTAGTCCATCATTCCTATAAAGCTTATCAACTTACAATAAATAAATCCCCAAGTACTTTCAGACGATAAGCAAAGATCCCAAACACAAAGTACACAATATCCAACGCTATTCTGCGTTAGCATTGTATGAGCTCGATAAGCCATCAGTCCAGATCCATGTAACGAATCACCATAAGACAAGCTTTCGAATGATTTATCTCTTGTTAACCTTTGACACGCCTTATTCCTTCAAGAAATCCACTTGTGAATCAAACATGATTCCAGATCAGTTAAAACTCAATTGAACATGTAACCTGCAAGATTTATACTGGCTTTTTGCCCCTTTATCTATCTTATTATTGTTTCTAGAAAGACAACCTGGCAATGAGTTAAAACATTTGATGTATTCTTCTGACAAAGCCAGTCATGTGTCTAATACAATATCTCTCGACCTTGAGACTAAACCAAAGGTAATAATAGAAACCTTTCTAGCAGATAATTTGAAAAAATAAATGAGAAAACACACTTCAAATTTCATAAATCTTAGGACACTTTTTTACACGGACTTTTTACCGCAACTGACACGGGAGTTTTCTCGGCCGTAGCCGTCGAAAACTTCGGTCGGAGTCAGTTCTTTTTCGGCCGAAGCCGGAAATGAAAGAACCACTAACCACCACTAACGGTGACCACTAATGGCACTCATAACAATCCTCCACTAAGCCATGGTACGCACTACAAATACGAGTTTCGGGCAAGTCACCTTCAGGGGCGAAACTAAAATGTTAAGTGGGGGATCGTGAATATTCATATATTCAACTCTGCTTGACTGATTTGGTTTGTCTGTGATTTGAGTAGCTGAATGTAGGAATATTCCTCCCACCCACCTACATAACGTATTAGTTTCGCCTTGGTCTCCTTAGCATATCTTTTTTCATTTAAGTTCATTTGCTTTTACAGCATTTGATAAAAAGGAAGTTCATTAACGCGCTACACAATTCAAATACGTAAAGACAATGTGCATTAGCGTTTGTGTAACATCAATATGGCAAATCATTAATTTCAATAAGATCACTTCATTATGCATTCTGTTTAGCGAAAGTCAACAGCGTGAGTCAATTGTCAAAAGCATTTAGTGAGCATTTATTAAAGTTTTGGGAAGTACAATAGCATAATAACAATTTACATTAAAACTCTAAAAAAGTCAATAACAATATATATTTGCAATTGAATGATTATAACCATCAATATAGCAGCACTATTTATCCGTACGGTGTCTGCCATTTGAAGATAGACTTGAGAAAGTTTTTCAAATGTAGGAACGAAAATTTATCCGTCTTCACTGTGTTTGCGTCATTTTCCCTGGTTTACGAGTGAAGCGGTTTAAAGCTGTTTACGAGTGAGGCTGGTTTAAATATGCGCACAATAGAGACGACCACTTTCACACTTTCACATTCATATACTTTAAAAAAATAAAAAGAAAGAATCTTTAGGGTTAATCATGCAATTGCAAATATTTAGTGATATTGAAATTTTATAGAGTTTTAAATTCAATTGTTGTCATGTTATTGTACTTTCCAAAACTTTTATTAATATACGCTACATTCTTTTAACTATCCCTTCGCGTTATTGATCTTTACTATATGGAATGCCTAATGAAGTAATCTTATTTTTAAACTGATCATTTGCCATATTGATTTTACAAAATGCTATTGAACTTTTTCTATACGTCTTTGAATTGCGTTATGCGATAATGATTGTCGTTCTTATTTAAATGACATGCAAATGTTTAAACTGACGTATTTAAAATATATTTCTGTTGACTTGAGTGAAATCGATATCTATAGCGGAGAGTCAATCTTCTGTTGTAGCAGCAGACTAAAATTCAGACCTTCAAACTTGCTTGTAATGTAAGCGATGAATTTTTATTTTTATAGACACTAGAGCCTTACATTTTCAGCAATAATTATGACAAGAAGAGAAGATGTTTTTAGCAAATAGAGATCAAACTTCAACATTACCGTTCTAACAATTTGTACTACATTGTATTTGTTTTATTATCTTCCTAAACTTACTTGGTGTGTGTTGCTTCTTTTTGAAGTTATTCTCATTTCAATGTAGATTTGTCTGCCCAACCAACAAAAAAAGGGTAATTTGTCAGTTATTATAACAGGAGGAGAACCCGACCGACACGAGTTGCAAGGTTCTGAAAGAGCTCCGAAGCAGGTGATGTGTGTTTTTATTGATGTTTTATGTGATATCCATGAATGTCAATGTTGACATTCAGGTAACATATCTTTTTCTTACATATCCTTTTCTTTCTTTGTCATTGAGACGCTATACAACATTAAAAATGACCCAAACCATGTACGCTACGGTTGCAAGCAACAGGACGCTTTCCCCGGATTAATATTCGCTCAGTATGTTTCACAAAACTTAGAAAATGTATTCACAACACATGCGCTCACTGTTTACTGTAATAGAAATGTAAACGGGGAATGTTTACCTTTATAAAATTTTTCCTTATTTGGATATACCATACACATGTATTTGCATACCGCGCGACATTGGAATGAAAAAAAGAATAATTAACCAATACAAAAATTAACATATTAAAGTTTATATCGTTTGAACGTAATATATGATTTAAATTATTGGATTTTATTTCACGAATATTCCGCCAGTCCGTCGAGTGTAATGATATTTTTCGTTGCTATGCAAAAGAAAAGTGCACATTAAACTAAGATAGCTAGAAGCCCCAAGAGATCCATTTCCAGAAAGAAACAAATTTTGAGATAACGGTTGGAAGAAATTGGCAGTGAAACACAACATTTTTCTGAATTTGATCAAATTCCTGTTAAAATTCCATCCACAAAATGTAACACTAACCAAGAATAGTTTCACTACTACTTATAAAGATAAGCAAGAATAAAGTGAAGTTGAAAACTAAAGGTGGAAGCACACGGTCTTTAGTTTAAGCGTTGTGAGAAATACACACTCACGTTTCACTTATACCGAAAGTGAACTGTACGAAAGCAGATCTCACAGCATAGTTTTAATTGAAGATAACCCGGTGTGTATTTCTAAACCATTTTACGAGAAAATTCATCAAAGTTCGCATGTTCGTGAATTTCTTTGATGTCAGCTTGCATTAAAGTTCGTAATGTCAGTTTTTGCTTGGTGGACTTTGTAAAGACCATAAAGTATGCAGCTTTTTGTGCGCAACTTACGATAGAATCTTAGTGTCTAGGCGCCAACGTTCAAAGCTCAAACTACACAAAAATATTGTTCACGTTTTATTTGAGTAAAAAAAGCATGCTAAAACTACTGTTACATAAAAGTAAAACAAATGAAAGTGAAAATGACACTTTATATATAATCAGTGTGTATCTATGATAATAAACGAAGCTTTATTTGTCATGAAAATATGGCAAAAGTTGAATCCGCTGTCAAAAAGAACCGTTAAAACATTCAAGTAAACCGCTGGTGAAAAGTACCGTTTGATCACCCTATGTGGAAGTCGTTGCAGGTGTAGAGGCCTTAGCCGAAGATTTGTGACTTTGACCTCTAAGTATCCGGAAGTTGAAGAAAGCATCAACTGCAAAAAGAATGCTTGCAATGAAACAGCAAACCTAGAAAATAGAGACAACGTTAATGAGCAACTGACAAAATAATGAAGATTAGTTAGGCACGTGACGAATAATCACGTGACAGACTAACCGTAGCATCAATGAGATGCCCGCATCTTGCGTCATATTTGGCAAATTTCAGCCAATAACAGATATTCTTATCTTCATACTGGCGAACAGTATCAGCTATGAAACAACCAGCTATGAACAGCATCAGAGCCCATATCACCAAGTTGATAAATACCTAAAATTACACATTATCGAGTATTTTGTAATATGGAACTTATAATTTGAAAAATAGAAGATGTTTGCTGTGTTTTTCAAGGCTTATGCAAACTCCGGAGACCTTCGGGAGAACTCGTGAGCAGATCAATGCAAGCTTAAGACCGACAGTCGACGATTGCACCTGCTAGAAAGCTCTCACAACTAACAAGTCTCTCCATTTTCCGCAAACTAAAGACTTTCTGCAGTGAAAAGCTCCGTCGCTTATACCGCCAGCTATCTTAAGGCTGAATTCCATTCAGTGCAAATCGTCGCGCGATCGCTTTCTTTTGAATTGTTTGCAGCAGTGTGAAACTGTTCCGGTCGAAAGCTTACAATTGAAAAATAAGTGATCGGAAAAAGTCGATCGCGCGCGACAATTTGCACTGAATGGAAATCAGCCATGAAGTGCAATGTTGAAAAAAGCGAAATCCGTCCAATTTGTTTACTTACCGTCAAAGGCAAGTTAACGATGATAATTTTTTCATGTAGTCCACTAACAAAGAGAACGGCCATTATAACGACAACAATCCATGACACGACAACGGCAAACATTCCAAAATCTAATCGACTTCTTTTTGAATCAGGGTCTATTTCGTTCAAAAATCTTCCCAGCGTGCCAATCGCAACCAACAGTACAACCTAAAGATAAATGTGGCGCTGTAAAATGTATGCATCTAATGTATAACATACAAAATATAATTTGTGCATACTCTCAGGAATATTGTATAGTTGAAAAATATTGTTCATTAAAGAGTCTTCCACTATTGAAATAAAATAATGAACTTACAAATTCTGCTATCTTCAAGAAAAAAGGGACCGTCTGGATGTATTTATAGCCTTTCGGTATCGTTCCCATGTTTGGCTATAATGCTGGTATGAAAATTGAAAATTAAATTAAATTATCGTAAATATGTTAAAAAAAGTGACACGTCAATATTATTTACTTGTCAAATTAAATAATTTAGTTCAGCAATATTCCTGCTTTTGTATTTCAATGTTATTTCACATTATATGGCAGCGAAGCAAAAAGCATCATGGCGTACAATATTTTACGCTTTCATTCATTTCAGATATAATTTCATCCACAAAATGTAACACTTACCAAGAAAAATACAGCCACTTTAAAGATGAGCAAGTGTCGCGAAGATTTGACAACTTAGAGTTAAAAGCTGTAATTTGTCCTTTAAATTGACTTATGCTGCGGATGAACTGCTCAAAAACGTATCTTATTGCATAATTTTAAGGAAGCTTATGCATTAGTGATATCATAAATATCAAGAAATAGGAACCAGCCCAGATTGTAAAATAGTCAAATTTTTTTGACTCTGAAAATGAAAAGTTTTCGAGTCTGAAGATGACTACCGCTAAGGTTGTCGAAACTTCAGTCAACAACAACAAAAACAGTCTTCCTCAGGACTATACAAATCTGGATGATCTACATCTACAAACATGTAACGATACTCCCCGGGTTCAAACCATTTACTTTAACAAATGGTAAATTATTCATATAAAAATAAAATCTTTATTTTAAAAGCATCTTTGCTGAATTTCTTTGAATTCAATCTGGCTGTCTATATCCCCCATCTCTGACTTATTTGACAGGAAGAATAGCAATTTTCTGACAAAGACTTGTTTGTTTTTTATATTTTGTCGGCAAAGTTTAAAGTTTCACTTTCGGTATGATTTTTTGACAAGGTAGATAATTTATTGCCTGTAATCATATAGCAAAATATGAGCAAAAACTTTGAACGTTAAATGTTATCTTATTGCACGGGAAAATCACACAAATGGATGTAAAGATCACTAAAAACCATAAAATGTTCTCAAATCAAGTAGGTCTGGTGATGTTAGTGACAATTTAACCTTTCACTCTATACCACAATCGGAAGTAAAATAATAATCATGCCCAGTTAGAATTATATAACTCATAAGTGTTTCAGAATTCTTGAATTGCAACCAACCTCCAGGAAATGACCAAGCCATGACATAATACGTAAACCAGCTTTTATCTCAGCATAGTAGCCAGCTCAAAAATTATGAGGGGGGGGGGCAATAGTTCTGCCGCATTACCACAGAATAAAAATCATAAAAATCACTTAAGTGTGGGCCGTGCCCTTATGGCCGTCATTATTCCAGCAAGATACTCAAGGTTTTTCACTTGTTTCCAACCACTGCAATTACATTACGTCATTTCTTCACAATTAAATCGAAAATATTTCAATATAAAAAATGACGTCGTGTCATTTCTGTGGTTGGGAACAAGTGAAAAGCCTTAAATATCTTGCTGGAATAATGGCTGCCGATATGCGCGGCACAACATGCGCGAGATCAAAAACATCAAAGGCTCCGACACGAGTGACCCTTCAGTATATTCCATGTTCTGTGGTATTACGTTGAACAACGTTGTCCCGACGTCAGTTGAACATCTAGAGAATTTTTGTATGAATTTTTACTGAAAAAAACGATGTCTTCGTGGGCAAAGACGTAACTAGAACGTTAATTTTGGGGGTGTACATTCATATATTTAGTTGTGCCCTACTGATTTATTTTGAATTTCAAATCACTTTCAAAAGAAATCACTATGACGACTCAAAAAATTCCTGAGAATGTTTGTTCTAAGAAAATATAAATTCAAATTTGCTACAACGCACAACAAATATGTTTGAATTTCTATCCATGCGCAGCATGTAAAACGTACCAAGAATAGTTTCATTCACATCTACCTTCTAACGGTGAGCAAAGATCTTGAGGAATTGAAAATTGAAATACTCAAACTGCAATATGAAGGACTCGCACCGCGACTAAATCGTTCTGTGAGAATCGTAGTAGATAATTATAGCTTAAACACGTTGAAATCACGTTGTCTCGACGTCAGTCGAACGTTTAGAGAATTTTTGTTTAAAAGCTGAGGAAATGTGTTTTTGTGGACTATTTTCATGTCTTTTAGTGCTATCACGTTTAAACTTCTTTGTCTAAACATCCACTTAAGATGTTGATCTTGTTTTAAAGTGTGAAGGCAAAATATATTATAAATAAGCGACGACTGTAATAAATGTGTGCTTTGCATGAGCACTTATTTATTTTCGCTAGATTTCTCTTCATGATAGAAGGCTACACAAGCCGAACAAATCAACGAATGTTCATATGAATGATTGACTTAAGAATTCTTATTTATTTTAGCTAAAGTAATAGTTTAAGTATCAGAGTAGCATAAACAATATTTCAATCAATGTCATTTTCAATAAAACATTTGCTTTGAAGAATGGTCTTGCGTTCATCAACCTGAGTTAAATTTAACATCAGACACAACAAATTAAGTTTTTGAAGCCCTGAGAAAATTTTCTAATTCTGCAGAAGCCTCTTCCTTGAAGCATTAGTTCTGTAACAATTTAAACGTAAACCACATTTCGAGATGAAAGATATGTACAACAGATGATTATAGTAATGAACATCATCTTGGTAAATGACTATCGTTGTAGAAATTAGCGTGCATGCATATGACATTTATAGCACCAAATGATTAAATATTGACTTACTTTAAATACACTGATGGCCAAATATCATGATAACTTTTGCAGCAGGTTTTCACCTTAAACTGACAGTTCAATTGAGCTCCGAATTTTGAGCCTTGCACGCTTCTAATCCGTACACAAATGATAAAATCAATGAAGGGATACGATGGGTTGATGTTGTAACAAGTATCGATATTTCCAGATATTTCTGATGCCAAGAAAGAATATTTGACACGTATGAGCCAGCAGTATTTTGTCAGTGGTAAAACGCAAACTGTCAAAGACATTTCATAAAGTTGCAGTAAATTTCAACTTACTCTTCACTTTACTTTATACGGAAAGGTGAAAAAGGGCTAATTTTCTGCAAAGTGTCAAATGACAATTTTAAAGCTATGTGCAATGTTTGAAAAGCTTACAAAGTAAAAGTTTAAGTCTTTCACATTCAAAAGGTATTTTGCATATTATAGTAAATAAATCTTGTAGGAGTTGAATCTATTTCCCCTTTAATTTTCTTATAAAGTGCACATACAGCCTTTCCAAATTCGTTGAAATTTTAAAGCTTAGACTGTAGAAAATATGATTTCGAAAAAAATTTCGTAAAAAAAGAAAATACAAAGTTTTTTTGCGGTTTGAATTAGCTTGCTTTTGAGAAATTTCCGCGCCGCTGATGGGACTTAAAAGGAGAGGTTTGTGACGTCATTTAAGGAACGTATGAATGCGCTGCATACAAAACATCACCATCATCATCATCAGCCGTTCACGCCACTGCTGGCAGATGGCCTCCACAACTTCTTCCACTCGATTCGGTCTTTAGCTCTCCTCATCCAGGTCTTTCCAGTTTCCTCTTCGACCTCGTCTCTCCATCTTCTCTTTGGCTTTCCTCTTCCTCTGGTGAAATTTCTTGGGTACCATTTTTGTTGTCAATTTGGCCCATCTGTTGTTTTCCATTCTTGCCACATGGCCTGCCCATCTGCCCTTCATTTCTTTTGCTGTTTGGATGACATCTTTCACCCTGGTTCTCTCTCTGATTACTTCATACCTGATCTTGTCTTTTAGCCTGATATTTAGTATGCTCCTCTCCATGCTCCTTTGTGTGACTGCCAGCTTCCTTGATTGGTGTTATACAAAACAACACAGTGTGAAATAACAATTCTTTATATACTGCTTTGAAATTAATATAAAAATTCTACGAAACACATCGACATCTGATTCTGACTCCAGTACAAGAACAACAGCGGAAAATATTGAATCGAACAGTCGGGAATTCGATTTAGAAGACGAAGATCAATCGTCATCAAATGCGCTCCGAAACACCGATGGCGATTTTGATTACGGCCAAGTTGCAGCTTGGTGAACCACTTGCTGATGATGAGTGGTTAGAAAACTATATTAGAGAGACAGAAGAAGAAAGACGCCAAACAGAAGAGCTCGAACGCAGAATGCAAAATGAAGTTCCTCTTGATTCTTGGTAAGAAAAGTTGGAAAATTTGTTTATTTATTGTTGCCGAAGCTTTTGACAGATAACTTTCGTAGGTGCAATTGTGGTAACTGCCGTATTCCTCTCTTGGTTAATCCAAAAGAATGTAAATGCTGCCACGAAATTGCCAATTGCATGATTGAAATGCAAGATCATATGGTGGTATCCGAATTAGGAAGGCAGCCAAAATGCATCACAGAGCATCCAGGATTTGATGCCATTTGCCTCAATCGATGGGCATTAAATTTAGCTGCCAATCTTTACCAAAGACGAGATGGAGTTAGATATCATAAAGGATTCTTGGAGCAAAGGATTGTTAGAATTAATAGTTAAATGCTTCTGTCTGGGTTATCTATGAATGCACACTTGCAAAATTTGTATTTTATGGAGTCCTACCTGTTTTAATGGACCTTGTGTATTATGCCTTTTCAGGTTTTTTCGAGTTGTTGCATATAGGCAATTTACAAGAATGGTGCATGGCATTCTTCGAGACAAAAGAATTCCACTTCCAGCTTGTGCTTACCATGTTATTCGAAAAACTTCTAATTTAAAAAAAATGAACACTTTGCAGGGTATGAAGAGAACAAATTGTAAAATAACATAACATTATATATCATTTTGGGTGTTGTTTGCATGAGCCCAGCTAGTAGGGATTCAGTGAAGTGTGGAATCATATTAGCCACTCTTGATGTATTGCATCTTCGATTCACACTTATACTTGTTATACAAAACATACAAAATTACAATTCCTTTCTCTTTATTCTTTCCATGCAGTCAATTCACACTTCACTGAATCCCAACTAACTGGGCTCATACCACCAGGTCCTAAAAAACTGGTTACTTTTGGTTTTTTGGACAGTTCATTATATTTTAATGGCCTTTCATCCAATTCTTGCACACAGTGCATCGAGGTGCTGCTCTCTCATTTCTCTGATTCGTGATTATTTCTTGGACAGGTGATACTTCAGCTATATCAAATAATAAAGTGAGTCAGTTCCGAAAATAAGATTCAAATTAACTCAAAGCAAGTAATGCCTTTTTGTAAAACTGGCTTAGTTGGGGGGGAAATGTACAGCTGGCATGCTTTGTCTTCTTGCTTTTTTTGAGATAGCTTCACTTTTTGATTGCTTGTCCAACATGGAATTCATTGGCAATGGAGTCGTTCGTAAAAGATCACCTTTGGCTTTTCTCAATGTTTCCTCATCAATGAATGCAGAGCACAACACTTGATATATATCTTCAACATACCCTGGAGGAGCAATATTGATGCTACTAGTTGATGATTCTTCATTGCTGCTGTTGTTCTCATACTCATCTATGAAATAAGATACTTCAGTAATGCGCAGCTACACAAGGTTGATTAAGTCCATATTTCTTAGTAATTAACTTCAATAATTTTCCAGGGGTGCATGCAAGCTTAGTTGGTAGTATTGTAGAAATTGAGGTTATTAAACATGGCTGATCCTATTACGTTGGCAAATCTTCTCTTGACCTAGAATCATATATGAAATAAAAACAGGCATATTATCTTAAAAAACACTTACCCACTGCAATCATATCCATATTACAACTGCTTGCATAAGTTCTGCTATACTGAAGCTTAAGCTTTGTCCGAAGCCATAAGTTCCTGTAACGACGTTTCTCTTTTTCAAGTTTTAAAAAATTTTGGCATTGTAATTGACATTGCACAGCTGCTTCCTAAATTAAAAACAACAGCAAGACATACAAAACAATAATTTACGTTAACCTTTACAGCAGTGGCGTAATAATAATATAAGTTTACTTTCTCTAATACAGGCTCATCACAAGTTGTTTCTTTTATTTGCTCTTGAGGTTCGCTGCTAGTACTTGGGAATATTTTCTGATTCAACCTCTCTTTTATAATCAGACATCCACTTTCTTTTCATCTAAAATGGCATGTATTTATGAAATATACTCTCACACATCATTGTCATCTTTTCGAGAATAAATGCTCGGGTAAGCAACGATTACGAATTCATCTCAAATGAGTCGAGGTGCAAAATTACTTTCTGATTCAGAAAGCGCGCCGAATTGCCGAGAAAACGAATCTTTCGTGAAGTGTTCCGAGCAAACTGCGGAATTCTTTGTGGGGACCCACTTATCGCGAGTAGCTTTCACAAAGTTGACCCATCGCTTTCTCCTACGCTTAGCTTCGCTTCTTTCGTCGTTAAAAATGGTATGCGATGAAGTGAAATGGCTTTCTCCGAACTGGCTGCGTTAGAACAACCAAAAACTACACATCGATCTGGCATTTTTGTGTTTGTTTACATGCATAAACAGTGCAAGTTGTTTTGGTAGTCAGTCTCATTGAGCTCTATAATAACTGGAGCGACTATCTCAAGCGCGGCCCATTGAGTTCTATAATAATTAGAGCGGCTCATTGAGTTCTATAATAACTAGAGCGGCTATCTCAAGCGCGGCCTTAGATATCTGATGACGCTAAAAAAATGGCGGATTTCGTCTTTTGCCGCTGAGATTTACCGAAATTGACCGCTTTTCCGAAAATTGCATAATTTCCCACTCCCTCCTGAGGAAAGAGTGAGGAAAATGTATGTGTGTATTTGGGTTCGGCAAGCAATTTTTTGATGAAAATCAAGGTAAAAACCTTAAATTCATAACAGCGAGTCAACTGTGGTTGTCAGTTATCTGCTCCTACGAGGATGCATTTATAACTATCGACGAAAGACCTATATGTCGGCTACACATGTATGAATGCAGATGTGCGTCGTTTTCTTACCAGCGTCAAACTTGTTTGATCGATTAAACTCTTTAGTCTATACAAAAAAGTATATCATAGTTCATCTCCACGGTTCACGAGAGAGAAGTCAGCTTATTTGTTATCATTGCTATTTTGCTTCTTTTCATGCAATGGGCAATGGCTTTTTTCGCCACAATTGTAGGATTATTACTTGTTTCTTTAAAAAAGTACATATTAAATCTCTGGATATTTACGGATTTTCTGTAATTGAGTTTCATATGAAATTTCAAAAAGACTCAAGTCTGCATAGGTTTGGTAAATGCAAACAAACAATATTGTATACAAATTACTTTAAGTAACCTTTTTGTGATGTTCTGAAGTGCAAGTGTATCAAATACTTGTAAAGTTATAGCACATTTTGATTTTGTTGTATTGATATATGAATTGGGCAAAATGTAAATAATTATCCAAACACTTATGCTTCCAATGGTGTTTATATTTCATTTGAAGTTTTAATACTTCTTCCTTTCTTTTTCACTTTGTTTTGTTTTTCCTATATTTGCAATAAAAGTGCACTATAATTATTCGATTAACACAGTTTTCATCTCAATAATAAATTTCATAAGCAGTTGGTAGTGCATTTTGTTCTCTGAGTATCCACATCTGGTGTTTTGTTCATACAAGAATGATGAAGTGCAAGTAGATATGTCATAGCAAGGCAATAAAACCAAATGAGTTACATACCTATAGTGTACTTTTATGCTAGAAGCTTAAAAGCTTTTTAGAAATTAGAATATTATTGTATTATATTACCTCTATATCATCAATCTCATGAAAAGAAATAAGAAGCAAAAAATTTTAGAAAAGCTTTGAAAAGTGAAAAAACTTTTCTTTAAAAAAGCAACAATAATGCATATGATAAATATCCATTCTGTACTCTAATAGGTAAAGAAGCTCAAATTTTTCTTAAAGAAGTATAAGAAATATATAAGAAATATACAGTACAGTAACTTTAAAGGTTTCATCACTGAATCTTTAATGCTTCAGTTTAGTGCATTAGATATTAGTAACATTCAAACAACACTCTACTAAAATATTTTGATAAAGATATGACATGATTTAAACATTAAGTTACATAAAACCCAATGGCTTATACAGTTTGAAGCTTCACATCTGCATCGAGTCATCATCAATCTCAGTACAAATGTTTACATAGACACAAACTTTATGGCCTTCCATTTTACATGTTTGTGAATTGACATTTCATTAAGCATCAAAACACACACAACCTTCTTGCCATCTTTCTTTGGATCATGAACTTTAACTTCAAAGCATTCAAGGCATCCTTAGTGAATCCATTGTCTCCATCCATAGAATTTGACCACGATGAAATTAAATAACTCTGGATAGGGCAGACAATAAATCAATTATCTTTACAGCATTATCATTTTTTAAGACTCTGCCTGGTCAATAACATCTTCCAGTCATCTTTACTCCTTGATCTTCCCTGCATGTTGTCAGCAAATAGAACATAACAAGCTCTGATCCAAATCATGGGTACCATTGGGACTGATTATTTCTTGTTGATACTTACTCGCAGAGCAAAATGTGTGCAGTGTCTTTTTTGCTTTAGGGAAACTATTTTGCAAATAAATGGGTAAATTTACGATTTCATGCATTAACAAATGACAGAAAAGTATACAGAATTTTATAAACAAAAACAGGAAAAATCAGTATATTTGGCGTTCAAGTCAGTCTTAAAAAATACGATCTCTAATGTGTATTTTATGGCTTTTCAAGTGCATGTATAATTGTTTTTCAATCGTTGACGGACTAACAAAACAAACAACTACCTCACCTGTCAGAAGCGATATGTTCCTTTTTGTGGAAACTAAGACATCAACAAATGAACGTTTGAAGTGTTGGCATTATAAAAGAAATGCCAAAAAAGAATCGTCACAGAATATGGAACTAACGATATCCATATTCTGTGATATCGTGTTTGTTTTTGAAAAATTCTTTATAATTTACTATAGACACCAGGGGGAAGTCGAGAATATTATTTTTCTGCAAAGCGATCATTTCAGCGGAAATACGTCCTTTGGCCGCCATTTTATTGGCGTCCTCGCCCCAATAAAGTTAGCCGCTCCAGTTATTATAGAAATCAATGGCGCGGCCTTAGATATCTGATGACGAAAAAAAATGGCGGATTTCGTCCTTTGCCGCTGAGATTTACCAAAATTGACCGCTTTTCCGAAAATTTCACAATTTCCCACTCCCTTATGAGGAAAGAGTGAGGAAAAAGTATGTGTGTTTTAGGATTCGGCAAGCAATTTTTTTGATGAAAATCACGATAAAAACCTGCAATTCGTAACAGCGAGTCAACTGTGGTTGCCAGTTGTCGGCTTCTACGACGGACGCCATTTTTAACTATTGACGAACGAGCTATTTGTTGGCCACATATGAATGCAGATGTGCGCGTCGTAACTGTCGTTCAACGATTTGCTCTATCAAAGTCTGTAGTCTGCACGAAACAAGATGTATCATATTTTATCTCAACGGATCACGAGAGAAATGTTAGCTCATTTATTCTCATTAGTTTTTTGCTGTCTTTCATGTGATGGCCTTTTTCGCAACAATTGTAGGATTTGTTCTTGTGCATGCATCTCGCGTTTTGTAAATGTATAATGAAAAATTATTGTATACAAATCACGAGAACCTTTGAGATTTTTGTGGTCTGAACAAGAACTGCATCAAATACTTGTCAAGTTATATATTATTTGATTTCGTTAGTCATTATTGATTTCGTTGTAATGATTGTGAAATGGCAAAAATGCAAACAATTAAAACAGTTAAATTACAATAGTGTTTATAACACTTGAATACATGAATACACAGTTGTGTATTTAATACTTCTCTTCTTTTTCTCTTTTTTGTAAGTTTCCTATTAGCCATGTGAGTTCAGAATTTGATTGATTAATACAGCTTTCACGTCAATAATAAAGTTTATACCCATATTTAATACCAGTTGCTATGGGATTTTCCCTCTAAGTATGCACCATCTGGTGTTGTTTATACAAGAATGATGAGGTGCATGTACACATGTAAAAACAAGGCAATAAAACCAGATGAATTAAACACATTTTGTGTTCTTTAATGCTAGAAGCATAACAGCTTTTCAAAAATTATACAGTTATTAAACTGTACTACCTGTATTTCATTCATATTATGAAATGAATTAAGAAGGCAAAAATTGAAGAAAAACTTGGAAAACTCAAAACATTTCCCTGGTTTAATAAAGCAGAAAATAAAGCAAATTGCAAAGGTCCATTCTGTACTTTATTACGTAAATAAGCTCAAAATACTTTTTCAGCTAAAACTGAAATTAAGAAGATATATATAGCACTGAGGTTTTCAATACTGAATCTTTAATGCTTCAATATGGCATCCATTACATATAAGTAACATTCAAACAACATTCTACTAAAATAATTTAATAAAGATGTGACATGATTTTACGATTTAGTCATACAAAACACACTGCATGGATTGTACAGTTGTAGTAAGTCATCATCAATCTCAGTATCAATATTGACATAAGCACAAACTTTATGATCTTTTTACATGACATTTCATCAAGCATCAAGACACACATAACCTTGTTATCTTTATTGGGTACTTGACCTTTACTTTCAAAGCATTCAAGGCATCTTTACTAAATCCATTATCTCCATCTATAGAATTTGTCTATGTTTAAATAACTGTTGGCAGGGAAGTCTGTGAATCATTTACCTTTGTTTGTGTTCAGCCTTATCATTTTGTAGTTAGATTCTGTCTGGTCAATAGCATCTTCCAATTGTCTTAATATAGTGATCTATGAAATAGTGGTACTGCAGCATATTCCAGAAGCATTTTGCTATCCGATCATCTCTTCATGTTGTCAGCAAATTGATCACAACAAACTCTGCTCTACTTCATGGGTACTCTTTGGGGTGATCGTTTGTTCATAGTATCTGCCACTGAGTAAAAAGAGCAGAAACTTTTTTTTTGCGTCAAACATATTTACGGTCTCACACATTAACAAATATGTGGAAAAATATGTTGATATCTAAAAACAAAAACAGGAAAACATCAGTCGGATTTTATTGCTCAGGCTTCAAGCTCAATTGCTTTTCAATTTTTGATGAACAAACAAAACAAATATCTCACCTGTGAAAGCGACATGTTCCTTTTTGTGGACACTACGATATCCAACAATTGAATGATTGAAGTGGTGGCATTTTAAAAGAAATGTGTTTATTTTTGAAAAATGCTGTATAATTAGCTATAGACATCAGGGGGAGGTCGAGACTATTATTTTTCTGCAAAGCGATCATTTCAGCGGAAATACGTCCGTTGGCCGCAATTTTTTGGCGTCCTCGCCCCAGTAAAGTTAGCCGCTCCAGTTATTATAGAACTCAATGGTTAGTCTGTGTTCTTTAAATGACGTCACAAGTAAGTCCCATGCCACGGATTAGAGCTCTCGACATTTTTTACAAAACGTTGAAATTCAGGTTTTATTCGCCTCTTTGCCGAAAGATAACTCAAAAACGAAAAAAGTTATTCAAATTCTGTAAACGGCATTTGTATTATTTATCCAAAATCTATTTGAGAATAAAAAACTGAAAAGAGTTGTATGTGCACTTTAAGAGTTTCTTTCAATTTTCTCTTGGGTTTCTTTGGTTTTCTTTTGTATTTAAGGCCAATCACCATGGCAACTGCTCTTTTTAAGTTCATTTTTGTTGTCTTTAATAAAAGATCTCCTAAAACTGTAACAAACTTTCTGTTCAACATCAAACTTGACATGCTGGCTTGAAACAACAAGAAACTGAAAGGCTGCATTTATACACAACGAACGCTGAAAGACTTCAGTCAAAAAGATTTTACATCCTACATTTAAATTGATCGTTTCATTGTCAATCTCTGTTTTGGGCATTTTAATTATTGTTGAAAGTCCTCAACTCTAGGTATAAGCTTTAATTTTAAAAAACTATAGTGCGGAGAAGCAAAAATTATCAAAAAAGACATTGCAATAATCTTATGCTTCACTAACAAATCCATGAATTGTAGACTTCTTGGGAAATAAAAATAATGAATGTTTGTAGCTACGGCTAAGGTTGTCAAAACGACAGTTCACATCAACACCAACAGTCCTTCTTAGGCTCCACTAAATTGGATAATCTACATCTACAAACATGTAACGATACTGTGAACTTCTCGAGCTACTGAAGTGATGAAAGTATATATGTCATTTATCAACAGGAAACTTGCCAGCTTAAATCTTTTTGTGTTAGAAAATTCCTAGTTAGCGCACAACGTATTCGTAATATTGAAGAACAAAAGCTCTTTGATTAAATGAATTTGGGAATGATAATATCTTCATGTTTATATAACAAGCTTGAAATTCACGCATTCAAAAGATAAACTGGCCATAAAACCAAATGAAAGAGAAGATTATGAAAATGCTAAATGACACCGTATAGTCAGTGCATATTTATGACAACATTAAGAAACTTTATTTACATGAAATTATGATAAAAATGTGAACAAATAGTATAACTGCATACACAAAGTAGAATTTAATAAATAAATGTTGCTGGTGTCGCACCCGTAACAAATCTTTCAGGTGTCGGACCAGCAGCAAATGTTGCTGGTGTTGTATCTGCCGCAAAAAATTCTGCTGGTGTGATGTTGGTAGCAAATGTTGCTGGTGCTGTAGCTGTAACAATTGTTATTGGATTTGCAACTGTAGATGTTGTGGATTTGAATAATTGATAGTTGAACAGAACATTCAATGCCAAGGTTATGGTTGCAATAAAACAGCAAGCCTAGAAATATAAAGATAAGTAGCTATATATACTAGTGTATAATTAAAAAGTAAAAAAACTTAATCAGGGTTGCACTTGATATAAAGGTGTAAGAAGGTAATCATTTGACCATGTGACTGACTAACCGTAGAAGAAATAAGATAAATGCATGTTGGACGACTTTTTGTCGCTTCATTCTCCAGATCACAAAATGAATTCTCGAATATATTTTCTTTTCGTTAAATAATCTGTGAAAAGTTTTAGACAAGAGACAACCGGCGATAAGCAACATCACAGTCCATATCATCGTGTTGATGAACACCTGCTGTAATATAGAGTAGAGTATTTTTGAATAAGATAAAAATTGCAAGAAATGTATTGCTTCTGTAACATATGCAGAAAAAAGGACTTTAGTGTTATAGGCAGTTTTTGGACTGTCTATAAACAAGATGGGTATAATGATGTCACAAAGGGACAATTAATATGGCGCTTTTTTAATCCATCATTCCTATAAAGCTTATCAACTTAAAATAAATAAATCCCCATGTACTTTCAGATGATAAGCAAGGATCCCAAAGCAAAGTACACAATATTCAACGCTATTCTGCGTTAGCATTGTATGAGCTCGATAAGCCATCAGTCCAGATCCATGTAACGAATCACCATAAGACAAGCTTTCGACTGATTTATCTCTTGTTAATCTTTGACACCCCTTATTCCGTCAAGAAACCCACTTGTCAGTCAAACATGTTTCCAGATCAGTTAAAACACAATTGAACTTGTAACCTGCGAAATTTATACTGGCTTATTGCCCCTTTATCTATCTTATGATTGTATCTAGAAAGACAACTTGGCAATGAGTTAAAACGTTTGATGTATTTTTCTAACAAAGCCAATTATGTGTCTGATGCAATATCTCCTCGACCTTGAGACTAAACCAAAGGTAATTAATAGAAACCTTTTCTAGCCGACAATTTGAAAAGATAAATGAGAAAACACACTTCAAATTTCATGAATCTTAGGACACTTTTTTACACGGACTTTTTACCGCAGGTGACACGGGAGTTTTCTCGGCCGTAGCCGTCGAAAACTCCGCTCGGAGTCGGTGCTTTCTCGGCCGACGCCGGAAATGAAAGAACCACTAACCATCACAAACAGTGACCACTAATCACACTCATAACAATCCTCCACTAAGCCATGGTACGCACTACACATACGAGTTTCTGGCAAGTCACCTTCAGGGGCGAATCTAGAATGTTAAGTGGGGGAACGTGAACATTCATATATTCAACTCTGCTTGACTGATTTGGTTTGTCTGCGATTTGAGTAGCTGAATGTAGGAATATTCCTCACCCCCCCACCCCACCCCACCCCATAACGTTTTAGTTTCACCTTGGTCTCCTTTGCCTACCTTTTTTCATTTAAGTTCATTTGCTTTTACAGCATTTGATAAAAAGGAAGTTCATTAACGCGCTACACAATTCAAATACGTAAAGAGAAAGTGCAGTAGCGTTTGTGTAACATCAATATGACAAATCATTAATTTCAATAAGATCACTTCATTATTTATTCTTTAAAGCGAAAGTCAACAGCGTGAGTCAAATGTCAAAAGCATTCAATAATGTTTTGGGAAGTACAATAGATAATAACAAATAACATTAAAACTCTATAAAATGTCAATAACAATATATGTTTGCAATTGCATGATTAACCATCAATATAGCGGAACTATTTATCCGTACGGTGTCTGCCATTTGAAGATAGACTTGAGAAAGTTTTTCAAATGTAGGAACTAAAATTTGTCCGTCTTCACTGTGTTTGCGTCATTTTCAATTGTTTACGAGTGAAGCGGAACAGATCTGGTTTAAATACGCGCACAATAGAGACGACCACTTTCACACTTTCACATTCATACACTTAAGAAAAATAAAGTAATCTTATTGAAACTGATCATTTGCCATATTGATTTTACAAAAATGCTATTGAACTTTTTCTATACGTCTTTGAATCGCGTTATGCGATAATGATTGTCGTTCTTATTTAAATGACATGCAAATGCTTAAACTGACGTATTTAAAATTTATCTCTGTTAACTTGAGTGAAATTGATATCTATAGCGGAGAGTCAATCTTCTGTTGTAGCTACAGACTGAAATTCAGACCTTCAAACATGCTTGTAATGTAAGCGATGAATTTTTATTTTTGTAAACACTAGAGCCGTACATTTTCAGCAATAATTATAACAAGAAGAGAAGATGTTTTTAGCAAATAGAGATCAAACTTCAACATTACCGTTCTAACAATTTGTACTACATTGCAATTGTTTTATCATCTTCCTCAACTTACTTGGTGTGTATTGCTTCTTTTTGAAGTTATTCTCATTTCAATCTAGATTTGTCTGCCCAACCGACGAAAAAGAGGAAATGAGTCAATTATTAAAACAGGAGAAGAAACTGACCGACACGAGTTGCAAGGCTCTGATGGAGCACCGAAGCAGGTGATGTGTGTTTTTATTGATGTTTTATGCGATATCCATGAATGTCAATGTTGACACTCAGGTAACATTTTTTTCTTACAAATAACGTTCGAATTTTTTGTCATTGAAACGCTATACAATGTTAAAACTGACCCAAACCATGTACGCTACTGTTGAAAGCAACAGGACGCTATCCCTGGATTAAATTTCGCTCAGTATGTTTCACAAGACTTAGGAAATATATTCACAACACATGCGCTCACTGTTTACTGTAGTAGAAATGTAAACAGGGAATGTTTAATGTAGTAAAAATTTTACCTTATTTGGATGTACCATACCCATGTATTTGCATACCGCACGACGTTGGAATAAAAAGAGCAATTAACCAATACAAAAATTAACACATTAAAATTTACATCGTTTGAATGTAATATATGATTCAAATTATTGGATTTTGTTTCACAAATATTCCGCCATTCCGTTAAGTGTAATGATATTCTTTTTCTATGCAAAAGAAAAGTGCACATTAAACTAAGGTAGCTAGAAGCCCCAAGAGATCCATTTCCAGAAAGAAACAAATTTTGAGATAACGGTTGGAACAAATTGGCAGTGAAACACAAAATTTTACTGAATTTGATCAAATTCCTCTTAAATTTCCATCCACAAAATGTAACACTAACCAAGAATAGTTGCACTACTACTTATAAAGATAAGCCATGATAAAGTGAAGTTGAAAACTAAAGGTGAAAGCACACGATCTTTAGTTTTACCGTTTGATACACTCATACCGAATATGAAGTGTACGAAAGCAGATCTCACAGAATAGTTTTAATTGAAGATAGCTCGGTGTGTGTTTCTGAAACATTTCACAAGAAAATTCATCAAAGTTCGCTTGTTCGTGAATTTCTTTAGCTTGCATTAAAGTCCGTAATGCCAGTTTTTGTTTTGGTGGACTTTGCAAAGACCATAAAGTATGCAGCTTTTTGTGCGCTATTTACGATAGAATCTTAGTGTGTAGGCGCAAACGTTCAAAGTTCAAACGACCCAAAAATAATTTTCATGTTTTATTTGAGTAATAAAGCATGCTAAAACTACTGTTACATAAAAGTGAAACAAATGAAAATGAAAATGACACTTGATATATAGTCAGTGCGTATTTATGACAATAAACGAAGCTTTAATTGTCAAAGAAAATATGACGAAAGTTCCATCCGCTGTCAAAAAGAACCGTTGAAACATTCAAGTAAACCGCTGGTGAAAAGTACAGTTTGACCGCCCTATGTGGAAGTCGTTTCAGATGCAGAGGCCGTAGCCGAAGATGAGTCACTTTGACCTCTAAGTATCCGGAAGTTGAAGAAAGCATCAACTGCAAAAAGAATGGTTGCAATGAAACAGCAAACCTAGAAAATAGAGACAACGTTAATGAACAATGGACGAAATAATGAAGATTTGTTAGGCACGTGACGAATAATCACGTGACAGACTAACCGTAGCAGCAATGAGATGCCCGCATCTTGCGCCTCTTTTTGCAAATTTCAGCCCATCACAGATCTTCTTATCTTCATATTCGCGAACATTGTCAGCTATGACACAACCAGCTATAAACAGCATCACAGCCCATATCACCATGTTGATGAACACCTAAAGTGAGAAATTAATCACAAAAATTTTGGATTTTACAAAACAACGACAGGTTAGAATAATGACTTTCCACTAACACAAAGCCATTAACACTATGAAAGGATAATTAAATAGTTCGCTAAAGACAAAACTGCTCCATTTTTTTCACTTACAGTCATTGGCCAGTTTATGACAGTAATTTTTTCATGCAATCCAATAACAAAAACTACAACCATCACAATGACAACAATCCAGGAGACGACAATTGCAAACATTCCAAAATCTAAGCGACTTTCTGAAGGGCTGAGTACGTCTATAAATCTTCCCAGTGTACCAAGAGCTACCAACAGTATAACCTAGAAATAAATCTAACGTTGATATACACATTACAGACACAGTATATGTATTATACAGTATTGTCACTCTTGCAAAAACTTGTCCTCGCGCATGTTATCTCGCGCATGTTAGCTCGCGCATGTTGGCCGCCATGTTGTCAGTAAGGAAAGAGGAGTGAGAGTATTAAAAATGCATTACGGAAACGTAAAGTTTACCTACTAATTAGCAGTGTTTCTTGATTTTTACGCATCGATCGGCTTTATCTTTGTACAAGAACTGCTTTGAGGATAATACTGCGTAGTTTCATGAGTGCTTGGAGAAAAATATAGAACTAAGAATAGAACTAAGCCATATATATCCTCAAAGCAGCTATTTTATTCAGCTAAAGCCAATCGGTGGACGAAAACGCAAAAATATCTCCATTTAATTGTAAAAATCACATTTCTGTAATACAAATCTTAGCAATCTCACTCCTCTTTCCTTACTGCCAACATGGCGGCCAACATGCGCAAGGTAACATGCGCGACACTAAAGTTGAAAGGTTCCGACGATAGTGAGCATACTTTATAGTACCTACATTGTGCTTCAGACCAAAAGTTTATGTACACTTTCAGTATTGTTCCCAATGAATGCGTAATGATCGAGGTATGATTTAGCAAGACAACAAGCAACTTCGTATCTCTTCATTAGTGAAAGTGCTATTTATCAAATAGATAACATTTAACCGTTCGTCTATACAGTTATAGATACACAAGTATGACGTCAATTGTGATAAAAACTAAAAAAGTGGCAGCCGGGGCGAGTGGTATAGACAGTTTTATGTTATCTATTTGTTTTATATAAAATCAAAGTATTCCCAAATTAAGCGGTCAAACAGTTTGTTATCTTTGTCCCCCAACACTTGGAACATTGAAAAGTCTGGAAATATCACGCTTACGTGTCTATGGGATTAAAGAAATACTATTGGCTACCTTAATCATGTGATAAAATGTGATTGGATAATAAAATAAACAAGCAATGGCTGATCAATGTTTTTGAAATTTTGTTATCAAAGACGAGGTACAAAGCAATGTTTGAAAACCGGGCTTTTTCTTTTCTTTTTGCTCAAATACGTCCACTGCTTAAACTAGGCATTCTTAATTTCTTTATTTGCCAATTCAGGGATAAATTCGCGTAAATATTCAAATAAATTCGCCGCTCGTTTGTCATTTAAAAACAAGAAATTTTCTGTGACGTCAATTCCGTGCGTCTCCACTTATAGAGCAAAGCTCTCGACCTACGAAATTGCTCAAATTCTTCTGGTAAATAGCGATATGTTACACATCGCTGTTACATCAAGATAAAAAAACAAAAAATTGACATTATGCAGTGCAACTACCGAGGGCTTAGACTGAGCAAACACTGCGCTACCCTCTCCTTAGTTGAGGGAGGCCATGAAGATATAATATATTATAGAAGAAACATTAGCAGAGTACGTGATCCTCTACATAAAAACTGATAAAATTTAAACTCTGAATGGCAAAATTAGTGGGGTCTTTAAAAATTTCAATTAAGGAGTAAATTAGCCCGAAACTTAAGAGGTTGTTTATCCTGAAATAAAACTACCAGGATATTTGAAGACTGAACGGCAGAAGCTGCACAGTTCTTTCAATAACGTTTACAACGAATGCTTGAAATTTGTGCTACCATTAAGAAAATTATGGAACTTTAACATTTACAAATCAACATCATCTTCTGTGTGTACTATATTGTGTTTTGCGTGAACATATAGGTTGGCTTGTATTGCTATCATTTTATACACTGAAAGTGGCCTTAGGATATATATTAAGGCTTTTATTTATATATAAATATATACAATGCATGAAATAAAAAAACACAGTAATGCATACAACCGCACTAGAAAGTACAGGAGCTTTAAAAATATTCTAATCTCATCGAAGGCTCGTTCACAATTTGAATAAAATATTAAACACTTATGTGAATAAAAAAATTCACTTACAAATTCTGCTATCTTCAAGAAAAAAGGAACCGTTTTGATGTACTCAGAGCCTTTCGGTATCGTCCCCATGTTTGGCTATAATGCTGGTATAAAAATTGAAAAGTAATTTAAATTAACGTAAAAGTGTTAAAAAATGCGACACGTCAATATTATTTACTTGTCAAATTAATGAGTTCTAATTTGGTTCAGAAATGTTCATGCTTGTGTATTTCAATCTTATTCTAGTTGCAACGCAAAAAAAATACTGTAAAAATCAATTCACAGCAGGATTTATAAAACCCAGAAAGAAACTATTGTCTTTAGCGGTTGTAAAAAATGTAAACATTTAAATGCCAGCGAACCACGACATACAATATTTTACGCTTTTATCATTCTTAAAAAATTTCAGTTAAATTTCCATGCAAAACAAGTAACACTTACCAAGAATTGTTCAAACTACTTTAAAGATGAGAAAGAATCGCGTAATGTGAAATGGAATGTGAAAGTTAAAAGCTGTAGTTGACGTTTAAATTGCTCACACTGCGAACGAAAGGCTAAAAAGCGGATATCACAGCATATATTTAAAGAAAGCATATGCATTATTGATAAACCACTTCCATGTAAGTCCATAAAGAACCAAACCATGCAGTTGAATTTTTTGTTAAAATGACGCAGAATGGTACGAATACTCCCTTTTGAATTCTCTTTCGTTTTCGTTGCTCAATTTTTGAAGAATTACAGCCTCGCGGGCGGGTCTGTCAGAATTTTTACTTCTGTACAATGCAAATGTAAAATTTTTTCAACGAACTTAGTATTCATTTCTTTAGAAATGTAATTTCCTGTTCTTTCATTGAATGAACGCCATAATGTTGGCATATGTGAAACAAGTAACTAAAAGCCAATACCGTCAGAAAATGGGCTTAATTCTTAACATCCATCTATTTAGCTATCTGCGTTGATCAGTCAATGGATACCTTTGCAAAAGTACATTTGTGTTACTCAGCTAACTTTTTCCAGTTTTTTTTCTGTTGAACCATCTCGTTGCTCGTCACCCCACTTAATATAGGGCAAGTCGCTGCCGAAGAAAAGCGAGGGTTTAAAAATGCGTTTGCATTTTCGTGTCATCACGCGAATTGCACAAACACGTCATTTCACGCCTGAGTGTTACTAAATGACACATGATTAACACATGATTGTCATAGGCCTGTTTCAAATGTCGAATTTTGCATGTGTCGAATATAATTATTACACGACGTCTTAGCTTTATCTCGTCCCAGACTTTGTTGTGAGTAAAATGCAAGAGCCAAATTGTATTCGACACATGTAAAATTCAACGTTTGAAACGACTTCGCACTTTCGTCGCATAATGTGACCAAACCGGTCGAATTTAAAGTTAACGTCGACCTCAATTAATGCAGTCGAATTTAATCGTTTCTTGCGTCAAATTTTCATGCACTTAATTCAAACTATTTTATTCGACTCATGCAAAATACGACGTTTGAAACAGGCCTTAATTTATTACATCATTTTAGATTGCACTGTGGTGAATTTCGTAATGGCAGTTGGCACCTATTGAGCTAAACGCAAATCAAACCAAACCCGAACTTTGCTTTTTTAAATCAAATATTGATGAACAAAATTCCTTTATATTAAAAATTTGTGAGTGATAAACTCTTAGAAATGTGACCAGGTATATACCGGGGGAGGGGAGGGAATTCTTAATATAAATATCAAAGCCCAGCAAAGTGCTTTTAAAAGAGCCATTTAAATTCTTATTGTACACACCTCTAACTTCAATCGAACTATCCGTGTATATCACATGTATAATTTATTTGAAAAATAAAACAAAAGCTTGCTGAAACTAAAGTTACGTGGAAAAGAAAACTATGAAATGCTAAATGATACCATGCATTCAGTGTATATCAATGATAAAATAAACCAATCTTAATGTCAAAAAAGACATAGCCAAAGCTCAACAGTAACTAAAACCGCTGTCAAGGAATACCGTTTCAACTGAAATATAAAACCGCTTACAGAAATTACAGTTTCAATTAGTTCTATGCAGAAGTGGTTGCAGATGCAGAGGTTTGAGCTGGAGGTGCTTTGCCTATAAACAACTGGAAGTTGAAGAAAGCATCGACTGCAAATATAATAGTGGCGATAAAACAGCAGACCTATAGAAAACAGAAACAACGTCAAAAATATCGAAGTCGTTTAAACTATAGTACGCACGTGATTGACTAACCGTAGCACCAATAAGATGACCGCATCTTGCATCAGCATTTCTCGCCTTCACGTAACTACAGAATGTATAATTACTTCCTTTCTTGTCGTTATCATACTTGCGAGCAGCATCAGCTAAGACACAACCGGCTATAAACAGCATCACAGCCCATATCACCAAATTGATGGACACCTAAAATCGTACCATTGCAAGAATTTTGGATTTCACAAAACCAAGTGAGGGTGAAATACGACATGATACGACGCTATATTTACAAGCTAAAGATTAATGCAATCAAGCGTTGCATCATTTATAACAAATACGATCGTGACTAAAACACCGCACGAGTACATACGAGTACATACGAGTGACATACGAGTACATACAAGTACATACGACTGACATACGAGTACATACAACTGACATACAAGTACATACGAGTGACATACGACTACATACTGATTACAAGTATATATATATATAACCCTAACCCTAACCCTATATAGTCGTATGTCACTCGTATGTACTCGTATGTCAGTCGTATGTACTCGTATGTCAGTCGTATGTACTCGTATGTACTTGTATGTACTCGTATGTACTCGTGTGGTGTTTTAGTCACGATCCAACAAATACTGTTTTAACAAAAAGAGATGTCAATATTGTTCTCCTACCGTCAAAGGCCAGTTAATGACGGTGACTTTTTCATGCAATCCAGTAACAAAGAGAACAACCATTATGATGACAACAAGCCAAGAGACAACGATGGCAAACATTCCAAAATCCAAGCTACCTTTATTCCCCCAATAATCGAAAGTACTAAGGCCAAAGCGATTAACGTTTAAATCTGCTTTGTCCAAAAATGCACCAAGTTTAACTATGGCAACCAACAGTATAACCTAAAAAAATGAAGTGTTGCATTACAAATTATAAAATGAAAACAATGAAACGCGTGTAGTGATTGGTCTAGAGCCGTGTTTGCATTAGCCAGAGCTAAACACATCTGAGCTCAACCAATCAAATCAATCAAAACAATCAATCAGTTAAAGAGAATTTGTAAATCGATCATGAATACGTTTTAGAGAAAAAATTAAAATGTTTGTCTTTTTCGCATTATTTTATTTTATAAAAGAAATAAAAGAAGTTTCTCGTGTTTGCACTGACTTATGCCAGCCTCGGAGACGTTTGTAAGAATTCTCGAGCAAGTGCAACCCTCGACCTTCGGTTTGCATAAGCCCGTGCAAACACAGTAAACATCTTTTATTTCTTAAATGAAAACACCTATTTTCCGAACCATGGATCGATTCACTGCATCTCCGAATCAAAGCTCTGGTACCTATTCCAAGTGCTTATTCACATAGAACTATTTGTTATGATCTACTTTTAGTTTGGTGTTGCTCTAAATTTGGAATTAGGCCGTTAGAGTTAGGGTTTGCTTGGGTTATTGTTAAGGTTGTATTCTTATTGATTCTTTCGTACTACTAGCTTGATGGCGTTAGGCATATTGAAACACAATACAATCACATGGTAATGTGGTCTACCATTACATGTGCGTAATACCGAACTTGATTTTCAGCCAGATTTTGAGATTGACTTAGAGCTGAAATCGGAGCTCAAACCTTTGGCTCGTTAATAAGTGTCTCATACAATATATGATCACATACTATATATGCTAAGTTTTGTGATGTAGCCATCCACCTTCTTTAGTATATACTGACTTACACCAACAAATAGAGATATTACAGATAACTGTTATGATCACATTTAATGTTCAACGTCAATGTCTATGGTCTACGATCTATCTTACAATGGTTAAACTACTTCTATTTATACAAGATATTTCGTATGGATATATTTGTTTCTTTACTAAATATGTTTAATTTACAATCAACGGAAAGCTATTAGAAACATTAAGAAATATTGTGATTATTGCACATAAGTATCTCTTAAAATAATCATTTAGTTAGTCACACTTGACTTAATTATTTACTAATTACAGAAAGAATATGAGAGCATATCTTAACAATATACATAGACACATGTTTGTAAATGATGATCGTCCAGGTTAATAAAGTCCTGAGAAGGACTGTTTTTGTTGTTGTTGACTGACGTTTCGACAACCTCAGCGGTAGTCATCTTCAGAATCAAATGAGGAGTAAACGTCAGGTTAGCCGTATTTGTTATCTGGTTCTTACGTCATTGTATTGTGTGTACAGGAAATGTGTATTGTCATTGTGAATTAGTGTGAAGTGAAATATTTTATTTTTAGTTGTGATGCGTGATTTAGGTGTGATGTTTTTAGTTATAATGTTTGGGTGTCAATTGTGTATTGTCATTGTGAATTAGTGTGAAGTATAATGTTTTTAGTTGATCGTTTGTTTGTATTGTGAATAAGTCGTTTGTAAGGTGCCGGTAATTGCCGTGATCTGTTCAGGGGGGTTTCTTCCAAGTTGGTATACCAACTTTCTAATGTAAGCCGTTGTCTATAGTCAGTACTGTAAGTAATGCATTTTGCCGAGTCCCAGTCAATATTGTGCTTTGTGATTCGGTGATGTTCGGCAATGTGATTAGTTTTGTCTTGTTTCTTAGTAGCTCGTTTGTGTTCAGTAAGTCTTATGTTTACGTTCCTGCCAGTTTCCCCGATATAGGAGGCGTGGCAGGTACGTCTGAGACTATTTTGCGTATCTTACGACCATACAACATACGTGTCGCACATAAACCAATCACAACGTTACGACAAGTACTAACCAACATAAAGGACAAAGAACAACCCAACGAACGATAAGGTGCAGTTTACAAAATAAACTGCTCTGACTGCCACACCTCCTATATCGGGGAAACTGGCAGGAACTCAAACATAAGACTTACTGAACACAAACGAGCTACTAAGAAACAAGACAAAACTAATCACATTGCCGAACATCACCGAATCACAAAGCACAACATTGACTAAGACTCGGCAAAATGCATTACTTACAGTACTGACTATAGACAACGGCTTACATTAGAAAGTTGGTATACCAACTTGTACCAAACCCCCCTGAACAGATCACAGCAACTACCGGCACCTTACAAACGAACAAATTATTCACAATACAAACAAACGATCAACTAAAAACATCACACCTAAATCACACATCACAACAAACAAAAATAAAATATTTCACTTCACACTAATTCACAATGACAATACACATTTCCTGTACACACAATACAATGACGTAAGAACCAGATAACCAATACGGCTAACCTGACGTTTACTCCTCATTTGACTCTGAAGATGACTACCGCTACTGTTGTCGAAACGTCAGTCAACAACAACAAAAACAGTCCTTCTTAGGACTTTATTAACCTGGACAATCATCATTTACAAACATGTAACGATACTCCCGGGTTCAAACCATTTACTTTAATACATAGACACATTGCAAACGATCAGGAAAAACGTTATACTCATCAAAACGTGTGTCACTATTTGAATTTAATAATTTACTTACAAATGCTGCTATCTTCAAGAAAAATGGTACTGACAAATTCGATGCCTTTCGGTATCGTTCCCATATTTGACTATGATGCTAGAATGAGAATAAGTAACATAAAAATGTTAAATATGCGACACGTCAAAATTGTTAGTAGTCAAATTGATGAATTCTAATTTGGCTAAAAAATATTCATGCTTGTGTATTTCAATTTTATTTTATATTATTCCAGATGCATTGTAAAAAAGTGTACTTTATAGTTATTCAAAAGTCCTCAGAGATCCGTTCATAGCATGATTTTAAAACCCACAAAGAAACGAATGTTTACTCGGTTGTGAAAAAATGTAAACTTAAAAAATGGCAACGAAGCGAAGCTCAACGTACAAAATTTACGCATTTATCGCTCTTGAAAAATTTCAGTTCAATTTCCATCCCCAAAAACTAACACTTACCAATTCTTTAAAGATGAGAAATCGAGTGGTCTTGAAAATTGAAAGTTGAATGCTGTTCTTTTAGATTTAAATAGTCTCCGCTACGGACGCACATTTGAACTGTTCAAAAGCGGATCTCACTGTATAATTTTAAGCAAGTTTATGCATAATTGATAAAGCACTTCCAAACAAAGGGCCTCAGCCCAGATTATGAAATACATTAATTAAGACCTATAGCTGTTGAAGAAAATAATGGTGCAACAACAAAATTACACATTCAAGCATTTTGATAAATTTTTGTAATACAATTGTAGCAATATTAGATGTTTATTTTTCCATTTTCCACACTGCACTTCTTTCCATCTTCGTATTTATTTTTGACTTATTCAGACTACAAAGACGGTTTATGTTGCATGTTTTGTGGAGTCTGACAAATGAACATGGACATTTTATTGTTTTGCTATTTAGAAAAAACAAGGATCATTCCCCTGCAGCTCTCGGTTGATACTTAATGGATAGTATGACAGAGAGATGTAGTAAGACTAATAATTGGTGGAAAGAGGGCAATACTCATTTCATATGAAGTCTTGCGTTGTTTTGTAATCTATTGTTTTCATAGCAATATAACGTACATATTACCCCTCCCCTCTCCCCCAATTGTCAAACTTCGCCCTTGGTTTGATATGAATTAATATTAATAAAAACGGTCTGTCCATGACGATACAGCTATTGTTTATGCATGGTACAGTACTTATCTTCTATTTATGTCAGGTACAGGGGTATCTGTGTCCATATTTATGTCGGGGATAACTTTCTTTTTCTCAGATGTTTGTGTAACAACTGTTTTGCATAAATGAAAACTATGAAAATGCTGTATGACATCGTGCATTCATTGTGTTTGTAACACAAGACGAACTTATCTTTATTCATTGCATAAAGTATATAAATGCAATTTCAAAAGTCCCGTTTAATTAGCAAACTGTTGCTGTGTCTGTAAGAAAGTTCATTAAAGCATCAATGAAACTGTTAAAATAATACTGTTAAAACAGCCGACCCAGGGAATAGATACGACGTATAAAATAAGACTTATGGAACACGTGATAAACACACACGTGACTGACAAACCATGGGGCCAATCAGATGAGTGCATCTTGCATTATTGGGCACACTTTTCTGCGCCTCACAAAATGAAGCAGAAAATCAAGTTTTTTTTATTATTATACTTGCGACCAGAAGCAGCTATGAGACAACAAGTATTGAAACGACTGCGGAGCATATTTTTTGTTTCTGTTATATAAAAAATAATTCAAAAAAATTAGTATTCTTTCTTTAGAAATCAAAAATATTTCGAAATGGTTTTGATATTTATGACGAAATTGGAGTCAATTGAAATGTGGACATTTGGAAATTTGTATAAAATTTGACGTTCAATGATTATTGTTTTCTGCTATTATCTTGTTTCAATTAGGTATTCTGCAGTTTTTGTAGTTTTTTGGGGTTTTCGTCGCCCGCTTTCTCTCCCCCTAATGAGTCTGATATTATATTTAGTTATAATTTTCAGGAGGATAGGGACTTTGCAAAGAATATAAAGATACGCGTTGTTTTGCATTTTTGATGTTGATATTTGATGATCAAAAATCTTTCAATTTATATAAATTGCGCTTAATAACATTTTATCATTTAAAAGTAGTTCTAAAGATAGCAAATACCATAGTAAATGGTAAAAGTAATATAATAAGTTGATACTTGTTAAAAGAACTGTTTTAAGTAAAGAGAACTAACCCAATAGTTCTAAATTAAATGACACGATACATTTCGTGTCAACGTCTGCTAAATAAAAATTTACAATCTACCGATATTTATAATGCCAAGAAAGAGTGTACGACGATTTTAGAATCATTAAGAAATGCCGATCATTCTTTCAGTTACGCGTCATGGAGGCTGTTTTAATTAAGTTAACCAATCCCGTCCTCTGCCAACAAAAGGATTGTTTTAATTTTATCCCTGTTTTGAGCGTCATCTCCCTTTTGGAGTTGACGTAAACTCTACGTTAATATTATAAATATTGGTAGACTGTAAATTTTCATTTGGCAGACGTTGACACCTGAGGACTAGTCTGCCAAAATGCGTTGTGTCATTTTATTTAAAATTATTCGGTTAGTGCTCTTTACTTAAAACAGTTCTTTTAAGAACTATCAACTTATTATATTACTTTTACCATTCACTATGGTATTTGCTATCCTTAGAACTATTTTCAGATTTGTCACCACAACAAAGTTTCTATTTTATTATTTTATGATTTATACTTCGAAGTTCAAAAATTAAAATTGAAATTATCCATATTTAATGAAGATATTTTATTTAAAAAAACCAAACACGAAAGGATGCTTGTACTACCGTTACATGAAATAGTACATTTTGAAAATGATAAGTTATAAAATATGGACAAAGTTAGACAGGAATTTAGTACAACTGCTTGCAAAAAGTACTTTTTCAGCAGTTCTACTGAGCATTCGTTGCAGACGCAGAGGTTTGAGCTGGAGGGGCTTTGCCTCTAAACAACTGGAAGTTGAAGAAAGCATCAACTGCCAAAAGAATGCTTGCAATGAAACAACAAACCTAGAAAACAGAGTTAAGTGATGTAAAATTGACAAAGCAAAAACTTTCATGAGTGGGCTTATACTTCATATAAGGTTCACAGAACGTGACTAAGAAAACATTTCAACATGTTACTGACTAACCGTAGCACCAATAAGATGACCAAATGTTGCACCATGGTTTCCTCTGTCCAGGATATCACAAGTTGAAATAGGAAAGAACGCAAAATTCTTATTATACTTGCGAACAGTATCAGCTATGAGACAACCAGCTATGAACAGCATTACAGACTATGCATATCAAACAGTTGATAAATACCTAAAATTAGACATTAACGAGTATTTTGTATTATAGAAATCATAATTTAAAAAATAGAAGATGTTTGCTGTGTTTGCCCAGGCTTATGCAAATTCCGGAGACTTTTGGGAAAACTCGTGAGCAGATCAATACAAGCTTGAGACCATCATTCGACGATTGCACCTGCTAGAAAGCTCTCACAACTCACAAGTCTCTCCATTTTCCGCAAACTAAAGACGTTTTGCAGTGAAAAGCTCCGTCGCTCATACCGCCAGCTATCTTAAGGCTGATTTCCATTCAGTGCAAATCGTCGCGCGATCGCTTTCTTTTGAATTGTATGCAGCAGTGTGAAACTGTTACGGTTCAGAGCTTACAATTGAAAAGAAAGTGATCGCGCACGACAATTTGCACTGAATGGAATTCAGCCATTTAGTGCAGTATTAACAAAAGCGAAATCCGTCCAATTTGTTTACTTACCGTCAAAGGCCAGTTAATGATGCTAATTTTTTCATGTAGTCCACTGACAAAGAGAACGGCCATTATAACGACAACAATCCATGACACAACAACGGCAAACATTCCAAAATCTAATCGAATTCTTTCTGAAGTAGGGTCTATTTTGTCCAAAATTCTTCCCTGGGTGCCAATCGCAACCAACAGTATAACCTAAAGATAAATGTGGCGCTGTAAAATGTATGCATTTAATGTATGACATACAAAATATAATATGTACATACTCTCAGGAAGATTGTATAGTTAAAAAATGTTGTTCATCAAAGAGTCCTTCACTATTGAAATAAATTCATGAACTTAGAAATTCTGCTACCTTCAAGAAAAAAGGAACCGTTTTGATGCACTCAGTGCCTTTCGGTATCGTCCCCATGTTTGGCAATAATGCTGGTATGAAAATCGAAAAATAAGTTAAATTAACGTAAAAGTGTTAAAAAAGTGACACGTCAATATTATTTACTTGTCAAATTGAATAATTTAGTTCAGCAATATTCATGCTTCTGTATTTCAATGTTATTTCGCATTAAATGGCAGCAAAGCAAAGCATCATGGCGTACAATATTTTACGCTTTCATTCGTTTCAGATATAATTTCATCCACAAAAAGTAGCACTTACCAAGAAAAATACAGCTACTTTAAAGATGAGCAAGTATTGCGAGGACGTGACAACTTTGAGTTAAAAGCTGTAATTTGTCCTTTATATTGACTCATGCTGCGGATGAACTGTTCAAAAGCGGATCTTTATATTGCATAATTTTAAGGAAGCTTATGCATTAGTCATATCATAAATATCAAGAAAGAGGAACCAGTCCATATTGTAAAATATATTGGTTAAGACCGAGTGAAGATTGTTCAAAAAATGGTAGAACATAAACCAATTTACACATCCAAATATTTTGTTGAGTTAATATAATATTAACAATATTTCATGTTTATTTTTCCATTTTCTTCTCTACACTCCTTATTCTTTGCATTATGAATAACAATTGCACCAGGTGGATACGGCCGGATGTTTTTAATTCTGTAATGCAAATTTTTTCGACGAAAATTTTTATTTCCTCAAAATTTTACTTCCTCATCTTCCATTGAGTAGATACCAAAGTATTTGTATTTTAAGAGTGAAATATTAGGATATTTTTTACTGATAATCAAATCGTTTTGACTAATTGACTTTTAATCTTTATTATACAACTTTTTCGACAATGAATGGTAACATGTTTGTAGATGTAGATTGTCCAGGTTAGTATAGTCGTGAGAAGGACTGTTTTTGTTGTTGTTGACTGACGTTTCGACAACAACAAAAACAGTCCTTCTCTGGACTTTACCAACCTGGACGATCTACATCTACAAACATTTAACGATACTCCTGGGCTCAAACCATTTACTTTAACGAATGGTAAATTATACATATAAAAATACAATCTTTACTTTAAAAGCATCTTTGTTGAATTTCTTTGAATTCAATCTGGCTGTCTATATCCCCCATCTCTGACATATTTGACACGAAGAATAGCAATTTTCTGACAAAGACTTGTTTTTTTTTATATTTTGTCGGTATGATTTTATGACAAGGTAGATAATTTATTGCTTATACTCACTAGCAAAATGTGAGCAAAAACTTTGAACATTAAATGTTATCTTATTGCACGGGAAAATGACACAAATGGAAGTAAAGATCACTAAAAACCATAAAATGTTCTCAAATCAAGTAGGTCTGGTGATGTTAGTGATAATTTAACCTTTCACTTTATACCACAATCGGAAGTAAAATAATAATCATGCGCAGTTAGAATTATATAACTCATAATTGTTTTAGAATTCTTGAATTGCAACCAACCTCCAGGAAATTATCAAGCCATGAAGTAATACGTAAACCACCTTTTATCTCAGCATAGTAGCCAACAAAAAATTATGGAAGGGGTGGGCAATAGTTCTGCTGTATTACCACAGAATAAGAATTATACAGAAGGGCCACTCAAGTGTGCACCGTGTCCTCATGGCCGCCATCATTCCAGCAAGATACTCAAGTTTTTCACTTGTTTCCAATCACTGCAAATACATGACGTTATTTTTTCCCAATGAAATCGAAAATATTTCAATGTTAGAAATGACGTCGTGTCATTTCAGCGGTTGGAAACAAGTGAAAAGCCCCAAATATCATGCTGGAATAATGGCTGCCAGTATGCGCGGCACAACATGCTCGAAGTCAAAAACATCAAAGGCTCCGACACGAGTGACCCTTCAGTATATTCCATATTCTGTGGTATTACGTCCTTATAAAATTAATGGTTTTTTGCGCATAATAACATGCATAAATGAATGTCGCCCCTCCTAAATTATCGATGCAAGCTACGGCTACGCTACAGTATTCTGCAGCTTACCTTATCAGAAGCTCAAAATCTTTCTCGTCGATCGTTTGGCGACCTGTGTGAGCAGAATACATATTTAGAAATCCGTAAAAAGTTGTTAATGAAAAATTTGGTCAAGCTGTTGTGTAACTACCCTATCTCACTAGGAATGATAGAAAAAAAGAATTTTCGCAATGTTGGATGACATTTGCATTGTAAATAAGAAAAATCCCTTGTTAAAAGGCATCCATGGCCACCACGAGATGATTTGAATAACAAAAATTGAAAGATTTAGGCTAGCTTTCCACTACTGAATATTCTACACCTTTTACCGAAAAATAAAATGTTTGGACGCTATTCAAGGCGTCTTTTAAAGCTCGGAGATCGGAAAAATGACGGATATACCAATGGTGAAAGTATTAGTTGCATAGATTGAAATTCATACATATGCTGTATACTTTTGTCAATAACAACTATACAGCATTCTTAATCATTGATGAAGGCCATATCCAAATGCAAAGCGTGGTGATTAAATTATCTTTAAAACATAAAACTAACAAAAAAGTAAGGAAAAAAGCTTTGTGAATTTGTCTTATTCCTACATCAATAGTACCTAGCTCACAGACTCATAAAGTCATAGCAAAAAAAACATACAGCAATCTCTAGAGCATAAAGAATGATAAAATAAAGGTACTTACCGCATTTTGCTAGCATTGAAATTTATTCTAGATCATAACTGCCTCTGAACTTGGAAAGCGAGCTTTTTTATCCATTACGGATATTTGAGTTTAGTAAAAGGTCGTGAAATGCCTTAAATACTCGAAAACCAAGTTTTTCATTTGTTTTTATCTCCTGTGGTACCCGGAAATGTATTTTGCGTATATAACTAGGCTTCACTTATTTCCTAAGTATAGAAACTATATTCAGACTATTATCAGATCAGTGGTGATAGCGCTGGGCCACGCGTAGGAAAGTGCTTTGTAAATTTCATTTACGCTTTTAAAACGAAAATGAATACGTATTTAAATAATAAAATTAATCTTTTAATTTATATTGTAAAGTAAAATTTCACGAGGGTTTAAGAATGCGTTTGCATTTTCGTGTCATCACGCGAATTGCACAAACACGTCATTTCACGCCTGAGTGTTACTAATGACACATGAAATGACACATGAAATGACACATGAAATGACACATGAAATGACACATGAAATGACACATGAAATGACACATGAAATGACACATGAAATGACACATGAAATGACGCATGAAATGACACATGAAATGACACATGAAATGACACATGAAATGACACATGAAATGACACATGAAATGACACATGATTGTCATAGGCCTGTTTCAAATGTCGAATTTTGCATGTGTCAAATATAATTATTACACGACGTCTTTGCTTTATCTCGTTCTGGACTTTATTCTGAGTAAAATGCAAGAGCCAAATTGTATTCGACACATGCAAAATTCAACGATTGAAACGACTTCGCACTTTCGTTACATAATGTGACCAAACCGGTCGAATTTAAAGTTAACGTCGACCTCAATTAATGCAGTCGAATTCAATTGTTTCTTACGTCAAATTCTCGTGCACTTAATTCAAACTATTTTATTCGACACATGCAAAATACGACGTTTGAAACAGGCCTTAATTTATTACACCATATTAAATCGCACTGTGGTGAATTTCGTTATGGCAGTTGGCACTTATTGAGCTAAACGCAAAACAAACTAAACCCAAACTTTGCTTTTTTAAATCAAATATTTATGAACAAAATTCCTTTATATTAAAAATTTGTGAATGATAAATTCTTAGAAATGTGATCAGGGATATACCGGGGGGGGAGGGAAGCGAATTCTTAATATAAATATCAAAGCCCAGCAAAGTGCTTTTAAAAGAGCCATTTAAATTCTTATTGCACACACCTCTAACTTCAATCGAACTATCCGTGTATATAACATGTATAATTTATTTGAAAAATGCTGAAACTAAAGTTACGTGGAAAAGAAAACTATGAAATGCTAAACGATACCATGCATTCAGTGTATATCTATGATAAAATAAACCAATCTTAATGTCAAAAAAGACATAGCCAAAGCTCAACAGTAACTAAAACCGCTGTCAAGGAATACCGTTTCAAAAGTATAGCAAAACCGCTTACAGAAATTACAGTTTCAATTAGTTCTATGCAGCAGTCTTTTCAGGTGCAGAGGTTTGAGCTGGAGGTGCTTTGCCTCTAAACAACTGGAAGTTGAAGAAAGCATCGACTGCAAATATAATAGTGGCGATAAAACAGCAGATCTATAGAAAACAGAAACAACGTCTAAAATATCTAAGTCGTTTAAACTATAGTACGCACGTGATTGACTAACCGTAGCACCAATAAGATGACCGCATCTTGCATCAGCATTTCTTGCCTTCAGGTAACTACATAATGTATGATAAGGTCCTTTTTTGTCGTTATCATACTTGCGAGCAGCATCAGCTAAGACACAACCGGCTATAAACAGCATCACAGCCCATATCACCAAATTGATGAACACCTAAAATCGTACCATTGCAAGAATTTTGGATTTCACAAAACCAGGTGAGGGTGAAATACGACATGATACGACGCTAAATTTACAAACTAAAGATTAATGCAATCAAGCGTTGCATCATTTATAACAAATACGATCGTGACTAAATGACCACACGAGTACATACGAGTACATACGTGTGACATACGAGTACATACTAGTACATACGAGTGACATACGAGTACATACAATTGGACATACGAGTACATACTTTTGCCAACAAAAGATGCAACCTATGCCTGAAAGAAAAATTCTTTATCACCTACCAATCACAACTATCATCACTCAAAAAACGTAACGAACTTATCTCCTCTTGTCGCCATAGACACAAGGCACTATTATCCAATTTGTAATCTTACACTCAACATATTATGTAATTCTATCTTAATTTTTACTCTAACTTTCTCTTGTATATACAACCTAGCACATGCTTTTGTATTCATTTAATATTATCCCCTGAAGAGTGAGAAATCACGAAACAGGCTTGTCGGGATGAAATTGTAGTTTTTGTGTATTTTCTTCTTATCAATATTTATGCTCTGCTCTTGAGCATCGAGCACTGTACTTACGGAGATTGAAATAAACAAAACTTCCTATATATATATATAACCCTAACCCTAAACCTAACCCTATATAGTCGTATGTCACTCGTATGTCAGTCGTATGTACTCGTATGTTCTCGTATGTACTCGTGTGGTGTTTTAGTCACGATCTAACAAATACTGTTTTAACAGAAAGAGAAGTCAATTAATATTGTTCTCCTACCGTCAAAGGCCAGTTAATGAAGGTGACTTTTTCATGCAATCCAGTAACAAAGAGAACGACCATTATGATAACAACAAGCCAAGAGACAACGATGGCAAACATTCCAAAATCCAAGCTACCTTTA